CCCCCCCGCGCCCCGCCAGGTGCTCTGAGCGGGTGTTGGGCAGCCCTCGGTGTTCCCTTGTGCCCGGCGGAGGCTCCGCGAGGGGCGCCCTCCCTGGGTCGGGGCCAACGCCGCGCTCGAGTGGCAAGTCTGGCCTTCCACGAGTGACGGGGTCTGCCCGCTGGTCCCCTTTCCAGGATGACGACTTCGGGCGCTCTGTTCCCCAGCCTGGTGCCAGGCTCCCGTGGGTCCTCCAACAAGTATTTGGTGGAGTTCCGGGCAGGAAAAATGTCGCTGAAAGGAACGACCGTCACCCCCGATAAAAGGAAAGGGCTCGTGTACATCCAGCAGACGGACGACTCCCTCATTCACTTCTGCTGGAAGGACAGGACGTCCGGGAACGTGGAGGATGTGAGTGTGGGCGCCGCCCCCAGCAGAGGCCGCGCCTGCCCCCCGGGGAGCTGCCCTCCCGCCCTGCGCAGGGGCTGCTGCCTTCAGGAGCTGCTCCGCGCTGCTCCTGGGTCGTCCCAGTGCCAGCGACCAGCCGGACTTCCCCGTCCTGCGTGCGCCGCAGACCCCGAGGGTGAGGGGCTTCGGCCCTGGGGACCTGCTCCAGGCGGCTGGCTCGGCGCCCTTCACCCTCCAGGCTACGGTGCCCCGGGTTAGGTTCGAGAGCAGGTCGGAGGTGGCTTTCTGATTCACCTCGGAAGTTGTTCCCAGAATGTCTCTATTTACAAACTCTTTCAAGAGTGGAAAGTGTCATCCTGGTTGGTGTGGCTCAGTGGTTTGAGCACCAGCCTGTGACCCTAGGGGTCACTGGTTCAACTCCCAGGCAGGGCACAGGTGCCCAGTAGGGGGCGTGAGAGGCAACCACACAAGGATGTTTCTCTCCCTCTCTTTCTCCTTCTTTCTTCCATTCTCTAAAAGTAAATATGTAAAATATAAAAAAAAAAAAATCGAAAGTTCCCTTTCCCCGTTGGGTGCTGGGCCTACCCCAGGCCCCCTCTCCCTTTGCAGGGGCCTCGGACCCTGCACCCGGCTCGTCTGCCCCGCAGGGACCCTGCCGGTGAGGAGCTGGGTCTGGTGCCCTCCCCGCACCGCACCGCACCCCGAGGAGACACAGGGCCCGGCGGGCGTCCCTGGGAGGCTCTGGGGCCGCAGGGCGTGCGAGGGAGACACTGACGACCCCCTCCCGTGGCTGCCGCAGGATCTGATCATCTTCCCGGACGACTGTGAGTTCAAGTGCGTCCCGCAGTGCCCCAGCGGGCGGGTCTATGTGCTCAAGTTCAAGGCGGGGTCCAAACGGCTCTTCTTCTGGATGCAGGTGCGTGGGACCCTCGTTGGCATTCTTTCGCGCCGTCAGCAGACGCGGTGAGCGCAGCCCTGCGCAGCAGGCGGCGGGGCCGGCTGTCCTGGCCGGCGGGCGCTGGCTGAGTGCGCTCGTGGGCCGCCACGGAGGTCCCTGTGCGGCTGGCCCTCTGTGGGGGGCGGGGGCTGCTTCCCGAGCCGGGTGCCTGCGCTGGGCCGTGAGTGCCTCCCTGGGCGTGGAGTTCCCTGAAGACGGGCACAGATTCGCGGGCCGGGGCCCCGCTGTGGTTTGCTGGTCTCTGGTCCCCTTGAGGGTCATGAGGACCCCAGGGCGGAAGCAGGGTGACGGTGTATGTGGTGTCTGCACAGCGCGTCGGGCGGGGACGCAGGGTCCTTTCTAGGGCGGTGCCAGGGTGTCCCGCACCCACGCTGGCAGGCCGCCTTGTGTCTGGCCACGCTGCCGCTGTGTCGTCGGCCGGTCGCGGTGCTCGCTGTCACAGGCGGTGTCGCGAGGAGGACCCTCGTGCCAGGGCCGCCTCTGCGCGTGAGCCCGGTCTGCAGGTCAGAGCGCGGGAGCGGCTTGCGCGTGCAGTGGGCACAGGTGTGTGCGGGCGTGGCAGGAGTCGCCGCACTCCCCCCGCCCCGGGGCGGAGCCTGCCCCTCCCCAGCACCTTCTGGGGCCCGGGGGAAAGGTGTCCGTGGCGGGGGCCCCGCCGCTGCCTGTGCCCAGGCGGTGGGAGCGCGGCCGTGGTCCGGTCAGACTGCGCAGGCTCGGGGCGCGAGCTCCGCAGCCGCCGGGGTAGAGCTCGTCGCTGCAGTTTCGCCGAGAATTCTCGGCAGACGTTCTCCGCGCGCTGGTGTCGCTCCTGGGACGGCGTCCCTCCACTGCCCGCCTGCCCTGTCTCCATGTCCCCAGCACGTGCTCAGGGGCTGCTGGACGGAGGAGGCCTGGGCGCTGATAGGGTGACCCTGCCCGACGCGCCCCGACGCACCCCGACGCACCCAGGGGCTCTTCCTCCCGCCCGCTCACCCCAGGGGCTGTGGGCAGGTGGGGCCGGGGCTGAGGTCACTGCATTGCAGGCACTCGCCGAAGGGGGCGCTGTGGCCGTCTGTGGCCCTGGGGGCGGGGCCTCGCCCTGGCGGGGGGCGGGGCCTCCGACTGGGGCTGTAGAGCACTTGTCGGTCGCGGAGGATTGCTGCCGTGTGGCTGGGGGGCGGCCCGCTCAGCGGCGGCGGTGTCCTGTCGCCCCGCAGGAGCCCAAGACGGACCAGGACGAGGAGCACTGCCGGAAGGTGAACGAGTGCCTGAACAACCCGCCCATGCCCGGCGCGCTGGGGGCCGGCGGGGCCGGCGGCCACGAGCTGTCCGCGCTGGGCGGCGAGGGCGGCCTGCAGAGCCTGCTGGGGAACATGAGCCACAGCCAGCTCATGCAGCTCATCGGGCCCGCCGGCCTCGGAGGACTGGGTGCGCCCGCCGCTGCGGGGGAGGGGGTGCTGGGAGGCTTGCGAGCTGGTGCTGGGTTCCTTTACGCGTCTGATTGGCCCTGAGGGGTGTCCGAGTGTGCGTGTGTATGCGTGCGCGGGCGATGCTACTCTCCTGGGGGAGGGCCCGTGAGCGGCAGCAGGGCGGGCGAGGTGCCTCGGGTGCAGCTGGCTGAGGACGGACCCGAGGACTTGTGCTCTGGTCTCCTGCCTAGCGCCCGGGCTCCCTCCGTCCCGCCCGCTGTCCCTGGGGGGTTTCGTCAGCCGTATCCAGGGATCGCTGGGCAGCACTTGCTGCTTTGTGCTGCATCTGCACTGTGGTCACGCTGACCCCGAACGTGGTGGGCGGAACAGGGGCCATCCAACCGGATGGGATGGGCTTCCAGAACTGTTCGCGCAGCCGCTGCCCAGGCTCTGGTCACCACCTGCCCGCGTGCCCCTCGGCCTCTGGGCCGGCCTCTGCGCCATTGACGGGGGGTGGGGGGTGGCACACCAGGCGGCTGTGGTGGCTGAGCCTGTGTCCTTGTTCCCTGCAGGTGGGCTGGGTGCCCTGACGGGGCCGGGCCTGGCCAGCTTACTGGGGAGCGGAGGGCCTCCAGCCAGCAGCTCCTCCTCCAGGTGAGCCCCCGTCTTGTCCCCACTGCGCCCTCGGGTGCCGTCAGGAGCTCCCTCCTCAGGGAGACTGGGAGTAGGAGACGTGGGATGAAGCAGGTGTCTGGGAGGGTCCTTTCACGGTCCCGGTGCTTCCCGGATGCCTGCGCCTCGACGGCCTTTGGGGCGGGGCCAGCGGCTGCGGGGCACGTGTGGGCGCCCGGCGGCTCCAGCTGCCCTGCTCTTCCCAGCTCCCGGAGCCAGTCGGCAGCGGTCACCCCGTCCTCCACCACCTCTTCCGCCCGCGCCACCCCAGCCCCTTCTGCTCCAGCAGCCGCCTCGGCCACCAGCCCGAGCCCCGCGCCCAGTTCAGGGAATGGAACCAGCACGGCAGCCAGCCCGACCCAGCCCATCCAGCTGAGTGACCTCCAGAGCATCCTAGCCACGATGAACGTGCCGGCCGGGCCGGGAGGCGGCCAGCAAGGTAACGCATGGTCCTCAGCTCCAGAGGAAGGGGCCGGCCGCCCCAGCGGGTCTCTGCGGAGCGTGTCCCGCCCTCCCGGTGGGCGCCAGGCCGGCCTCTGACCCCTGACGGCCGTGTGCTCGCCCCCAGTGGACCTGGCCAGCGTCCTGACGCCCGAGATCATGGCGCCCATCCTGGCCAACGCGGACGTCCAGGAGCGCCTGCTGCCCTACCTGCCCTCCGGGGAGTCGCTGCCCCAGACCGCGGAGGAGATCCAGAACACGCTGACCTCCCCGCAGTTCCAGCAGGTGCCTCACGCCGTGCCGTCTGCGGGTGGCCCGAGTCCCTGCCCTGCGAGTCCGGGTCCCGCTGGGGTGGGTGCCCCGCCCCCGGGCTTGCTCAGAGGTGCCGGCCCTCCCTTGCAGGCCCTGGGCATGTTCAGCGCGGCCTTGGCCTCGGGGCAGCTGGGCCCCCTCATGTGCCAGTTCGGTCTGCCCGCGGAGGCCGTGGAGGCTGCCAACAAGGGCGGTAAGTGCCAGCCCCCCGCTGCGGGTGGGGAAGGGAGTCTCCCCGGGGGCGCGGCGCGGGCCGGGTGCCCCCACGCCTCAGTCAGCGTCGGCGGGCCGGGGCCAGGCGGGCGGCCTCACGCCTCGGACGCCTTGCAGACGTGGAAGCGTTTGCCAAAGCGATGCAGAGCAGTGCCAGGCCGGAGCCGGAGGGCGACGGGAAGGACAAGAAGGACGAGGAGGAGGACATGAGCTTGGACTGAGGCACCGCCGGCTCTCCCGGGGCGCGGCGCTCGGCCGTGTGGGGGCCGTGCCCGCCCGCGGGGGCCCCGCGGCTCTGCCCCGACTTGCTAATAAATAAAGGTCTTGTCTTTTATCTCACAACTCTCCGGTTCTGTGCCCGGGACTTGGTGCGGCTGCCCTGCCCCCTTTTCGGCTGCACGGGAGCCGGTGTCTCGGGGTGTCCTCACCTCGGGGCGAAAGGCCGTCCCCCCCACCCCGTGGGCCCGCGACCGGGCTGTCCGATGCCTCTTTTTCTAAGTCTGAAGTCGGCGGTCAGTTAAGTGATTCCCTTTTAGTTCGTGCTTTAAGGAAAGGGACCAGCGACTTACAGCCTTCTCAAACTATTAAAAGTTGGTGGAAGGGAAACCTTGCAATTACAAGCCAAGATCAGAAGTATAAAAACCCAGTTTTATTGTATTCCCTCCTGTGTAAAAAGACATAACTTAAACGGTTCCTGGAAACGAGGTCACCCGCCGTGTGCAGAGAAACCCCACGGACTTCATCCACGGGCCCGGCCGCGGGCGGCCTGGGTGGCCGGCTGTTCGCTGGAGCGGGTTTTCCAGGAGGCAGGACCCCGCCCGCCTGGGCAGCCGCTGGCCGCCACTGCGCCCTGGACGCCCGCGGAGCGCGGCAGCGTGACCGGGGACCCGTTCACCGTCAGGCTCCTCATGCAGCCCTGGAAACCCGGAGGCCGTGGGCGCGGCAGGGTCGGGGGCCCGTCCTGCGTGTCCTCGAGTTCTGGGGTGTGGGGGAGATGGGCCGGGGGGGGGGGACACGGGTTGGCGCACAGCCTGGTTTCCAGCGGGCATCCCACCCCGGGAGGGTGGGAGGAGATCGGGGCGACCCCCTCCCCTGGGCGAGGCCGCACTCACCGGGCAGGCCGCCGAGGTGCAGGGGCACCGGGGTGTGCGCTGAGGCCTCCGGCGTGGGGCCCAGGGTCCGGCTGCTCTGGCCGTCCACCTCCAGCCGCAGGGCGCTCCCGCCTTTGGTCACTGTGGGCACAGGCTCCCTGAGGCGGGGCTGGGGGGGCCCTCGCCAGCCGCGGGGCCCGGGCTCGGCCATGCTGTTGGCCTCTGTGGGATGGTGCCCGAGTCCCCACCTGGCTCCGGAGTCGGGGGAGGGGCCCGGCTCACCTGCCAGCTGGTGCCACTGCCCGTCACACAGGGCCCTGGAGAGCGTCACGGCGGCGGAGAACGCGCCTGCTCCGTCGTCTGCCCGCAGCAGCACCTGGGGTGGGGGTGGCCGTCAGGAGGGCCCCGCCAGCCCCCATGCGACCCCTCGGTCACGGTCACAGCCCCCGCTGGCTTACCTGCTTCCCCAGCACCTGCACCTGTAGGTAGGGGGGCGCCTGGAGGCGGCCCAGGTGGAAGAGGAGGCCGGTGGCTGTCCGCGGCCGCACCTCCAGCTGCAGGCTCACATTGGGCAGGCTGGCCCCCAGGGTGTCTGCAGGGGGGTGCCGTGAGCAGCAGGGGAGGCGGCCCCAGGCCCCTCCCTGCCTCCCCGGCCGTGGCCCCCACCCTGCGCCGCCCGGGCCCTGCCAGGAGTGGGGCCGGCAGACACACCTAGAGTGAGGGCTCCCCCGCCACTGGCGAAGAAGAGGCCCCGCTCCAGGGGCTCTGAGAGGCAGGGCATGACCCCCACCATCATGTGGGGGGTCCTCAGGAGCCGCCCGTCCAGGGCCAGCCTCTTCACACAGCCGCTGAACTGGGCACTGCTCACGGCCGCCTGGGGGCACAGCACACGTGGGGTCAGGTCCTGGGGCTGCTGCGGAGGGGGTGCCAGACTGGCTGGGCTGGGGCCCGGGCGGGGAGACTGGGCAGGGAGAGCTCTCACCGGAAGCCTGGGGCTGTGCTGGCTGCCAAGAGGAAGACTCCCCACCAAGAGGGTGTGGGGCCGGGGGGCCTGGGCCCCCCGGTGCCGCTTGTCCGTCTCCTCCCAGCCCTGGGCCCAGACCCCGTTCACGCCCAGCTGGATCCGAGACTTGTCCCAGCGCACAGACACCTGGGGGTGGGCAGAGGCAGGTGAGGCTGGGAGCTCTTGGAGCCCCGCCCACGTCCCTTCCCCTCGGCCCCTTACCCGGTGCCACCGGCCGGCCTGACCACGCAGGCGGCTCTGAACCCGGAGCCGGGGCACAGGGCCACTCGCCGTCTGAGCCACGAAGTGCCCGTGGCTCAGGAAGAGGGCCAGGGCGGGGCTGCCGGGCGCCCGGGGCACGGCGAGGGCCAGGAGCCCGCTCCGGGAGCGGGGGCGGACCAGCATCGAGAGGCGGGACCTGGAAGCCAAGGGGGCGTCACCTGGGTGGTCCCTCTGCGCACGCCCCGCCCCGCCCCGCCCGGCCCAGCTTACCGATTGCTAAGGGGCGCTGGGAGGCCTGTGAACTCCAGGTAACTGGGCAGGGGGCCCCCAAACTGGTAGGTGCCCTGGAGGATCCCGAGGGGCTGTGGCGTGCAGGCGGGGTCCTGGGCGGGCTGCCGGCTGCGCCGGGAGGCCTGGGGGTCAGAAGGGGATGCAGGGGTGCTGGGGAGCTGTCTCCCACCTGCTCCGGCTCCGCCCACCCCAACCGTGACCCCAGTGCCCACCTTCCGAGCCGCTGTGCCCTGTAGTCCTTGAGGTGCAGGTGATGTCGGGGGCCTGGGGGCCGGGGCGCAGCCTGAGCTCACACTGACACCCCCCAAGTTCTGCTGCAGGTCAAACACGCGCTGGGGCCCCTCGAGCCTGCGGGGGGAGGCGGGGGGCAGTCAGCCACGCGGGCGGCCCCTGGGTTTGTGCGTCAGCACCAGCCTCCCAGCACCCGCTCAGCTCACCTCTGCACGAAAACGTTGCTGATGCAGCCACTGAAGTTACGGTAGGTGTCCGGCTCAGGCAGGCCCCCCAGGAGGAGCCGGGGGGGCTCCACGGGCTGGGGCCGGGGCCTGGCGGGGGGCCCGCGGTGGGGCACCATCTGCTGAAGCTGGTCGTCCACGTACAGCCAGACCCTGTGGGGAGAGCAGCATTTCTTCCCCCTGCCCCCCTTGCCCCCCAGCCCCCCAGCCCGCCTGCAGCAGGGCCGGCCTGGCCGCCGCCCCGCCCGCCCCCGGCTCACCCTGTGGCGTTGCTGTAGAAAGCGACGTAATGGGGGGCACCGTCCGCGAGGTTCCCTGACGACCTCACCTCGGTCCTCACATACCGCAGGGTCACGTGGCCCTGCTGCAGGGACACGCCGCACAGCCCGTCCTGGGGACAGTGGTCAGGTCAGCAGACCATGCCGGGGTCCCAGGCTTGCTCCCTCCCGAGGCCCGGGCCCTGACGCCCCAGCTGCAGGGGGTCAGAGGCGCGAGGGGAGGGCGGGGCAGAGTTGGGGAGCAGCCGGAGGTCCGTGGGGCCGCTGGACCCACCGGGGAGGCTCTGTGGTAGAGCAGGCCGCTGTCCTGGGTGCTGCGGAAGCCGAAGCCAGAATAGACTTGGCCAGTGAGGGGCGCGACGTCTGGGAGCGCCAGGGGCAGGAAGCCGCGTCCGGTGAAGGTCATGGCCCGTCCCACCTGTAGGCAGGCGACAGTGAGGCCCAGGTCCGGCGGCAGGAGAGGGGCCGCCGGCGGGGGCGGGCGCGGGGCTCACCAGCAGGTCCGCGGTGCAGCCGGCGCTGATGCCCGTGGTGTTCAGCCGCTTGAGATCCACGTACTTGCCCAGCGACTTGATGCCCTTCACGCAGCCGCGCACGGAGCCGCCGGTGGGGAAGAGCCGCAGCAGGCTGCGGGGGCGAGCGCGCGTTGGGGACTGGCATGGGGGCGGGGAGGGTGGGCGTGGTCAAGGGGGGCCCTGCGCCGGCTCACCTCGGGGGCAGCTGGTCCGGAGGCACGCCCCCTAAGTAGTAGGAGTCGGCCTGCTGCAGCACGTTGTCCTGTTCCACGTTGAACACGTTGGCCCTCTCCACGCGCACCAGCACGCGCTGGCGGCCGCCCCCCAGCAGGAGCACCTGGATCTGCAGGGCAGGACAGGGCAGGACAGGGGCTGCGGAGCCTGCAGCGTCCGCCGGCCCCTCCCGCCCGAGGCCGCCCCACCCGGCTCCAGCCTTACCGCCTTGCTGGCCGAGGTCAGGAGCGGCGGGGTCGTCAGCGGAACGGCCTCCTTCAGGCCCTCGCCGAAGTCGTAGAGGAGGTGGAGACTGCCGTCCATCACCGCCAGGCACAGGAACTGGCCCTGCGGGGCGGGCGGAGTCAGCGTGGGGTGGGGCTAGCACGGGGTGGGGCCGGCACGGGGTGGGGCTGGCACGGGGTGGGGCCGGCGGCGGAGGGCGGGGCTGTGGGCGGGGCCAGCGTGGGGAGGCGGGTCCAGCAGGCCTGCCTGGTGCTGCAGGAAGAAGATGATCCCGTTGGAGGACACCAGCCGCAGCTCCTGGTCGAAGCGCTTGGTGTTGCCCGACGGACTGGCCGCCTTGATGTGGGCGAAGCCGGAGCCCTCCAGGTAGGAGCCGTCTGTGAGCCACGGGTCTCCAGTCGACTTGGAGCTGCAGGTCAGAGGTCACGGGGTCAGTGGAGAGTGGGCCAGGTAGGGGGGAGGCCGGGCCCCAGGCGGCACCTACCGCGGACAGGGCTTGTCCACCGCGGTGTTGAGCTGGAAGGTCTGCTCGAAGTTGTAGAGGCTGATCACCTGCTCGTTGAGCGTGCCGACCTCGATGCAGCCCTTGTACCCGGGGAGGCGCAGCGGCTCCGGCGGCTGTGGGCGCAGGCTGCGTCAGGGCGCCGCAGGGCGGGCTGGCGCCAGACACCAGCGGGACGTGCGGGAACCAGCGAGGGGGGAGGGGTGGCCGCATGCGCCGGCCAGGCTCACCGTGAAGCTGCTGGGGTAGCCCCCCACGTAGAAGACAAAGTCGTCGGGCTGCAGGCTGAGCAGCCCCTCGTCCCCAGGGGCCACCGTGTCGCCCTTGGTCTCCTGGATCACCCGGTTCTCCACCGTCACAGACATGTGGCCGAACTGGAGGGTCCTGAGGGCAGAGCGAGGGCGTCTGGAGTGGACACGCAGCCCTGGCAGGGGGCGGGGGAGGCGGTGGCGGGGGGGCCGGCTGCCCACCTGTCGATGCTGACGGCCGCAAACTGCTCCCCGATGTTCTCGTCGACGCTGAGGTTGGCGGGGCCCGCGGCCCCCAGGTGGTACACCCAGTGCACCTTCTGGTCCCGGAGGGCCACACCCATGTAGTCGCCAGTGGCCTGTGGACGGCACACGCGGTGGGACGGGGACCCAGCCCGCCCACCACTCCAGCCTGACCACCCAGCCCACCCAGCCGGCCCGCTACCTGGCGGCTGCCCATGTACAGCACGAACCGGTCCTCGGAGGACTGGTTGGCCCCTGGCTCCGGGCTCTGCAGGTAAAACTTGAGGGCGGTGTAGGCGGCAAGGTCGCTGAGGTCCCGGGGGGCGCGCAGCTGCACCCCCGAGTTCCCGTTGAACTTCATGGACACCTTGACCTGCGTGGACGGTGCACAGCGCATCAGCATCCACCGCCCAGCTTCCCGGGTGCCCCCCGCTGCACCCAGCACTCTCGCCCACCTTGCTGGCGGCGCCTCGGGCCTGGGCGATGAGCTCCCGCACGCGGCCGATGCTGGCGGACAGGGCCAGGCTGGTGTTGTGTGCCCCGCGGTTCTCCAGGAGGCTCAGCTTGGCCAGCAGCTGTGGCAGCGTCTTCTCCAGGGTGGACACTGCGGGGAGGGGGGCGGAGGGTGGGGGCGGCTCTGAGACCCCTGCCTCCCACCCCTGGCCCACCCCCCTCAGCGGGGAAGGAAGGGCGGGGGCCCACCTGAGCGGCCTGCGTCGAGCACCACCTGGCCCAGGTCCTGGCTCTGCAGACCGCCGTACTGGCCCTGCCACTGCTCCAGGTTCCTCTGCATGTCCCGGAGCCGGGACTGCAAGCGGGCAGCCGTGTCCTGGGCCTCGGCGGCTACTGCCTTGGCGTTGGCGATCTTCTTGCTGGTCTCGTCTGTGGTGGGCCGGGGCAGGCTCAGCGGGGCCAAGCAAAGACAATGCCGGCCCTGCCCCCGCCAGGGAGACCGCCGAGGCCCCCCACGACGGCCAGCAACGGGGACGCTGAGAACACGGAAGCCCACACTCCACGCCCCACCCCCGGGTGGCTGCTTCTGCACCAGCCTCTTGGACCCGAGCAGGGCTGCCCGGACGCCTCCGTTCAGCCCGGTCTCCCTGCAGCCACCACTGCCGTCCCCGGGCCACCGCCCTCTCCCCGTGGCCCTGCCAGGGTCCCTGGGGCCTCTGAGGCCTCCACTCAGGAGCGGGCCCCACGGGCTTCCCGCACACCGGGGTCGGACGCGCGGCTCCTCTGCACCGAGCCGGCCTGGGCCCCTCCGTGCACCCACGCCCCTCCGTGCTGGCCTGCGGGCCGTGCCCCCTCGCAGTTCCCACTTGCTGCTCGGGTCCCTTTTGTTTGGCGTTCACCTCCTGGCCAGCAGGAAGCGCCCAAGGCCGGGCGCCCAGGGGGGTCGCCACTGTGGACGGCGCAGGTGTGAACATGTCCCCTATCACAGAGCCCTATCGCCGGCCGCTCGCGTGGGCAGGTGTCCCTTCGCCTCTGGGGACAAGCAGTGGGGGCGGGAGGTGGGGAGGCCCGACCTACCTGTGTCCATAGCCAGCATGGCCTGCACCTCCCGCACTCTGGCTGCCAGCTGCTCCTTCCTGGCCCGGGCGTCGCTGAGCTGGGTCCCGGTGCCCTGGAGTGTGGCCCACACTGCGGGGGAGGCAGCCTCAGCCCCTGGGTGCCCCTCCCCTCCACGTCCGGGTGCAGCCACCCTGGCCGGGGCAGACCAAGGCTGGCGTGCACACAGACGGACAGAGATACCCAGACACGAAGGCCCTCGGCCCAGGAGCAGGTGCTGGAGGGGCCGGGGCTGCTCCTGGTCCCACCGTAAATGAGATCACCCCGTTGTAGAGACGAGACCCCAGAGGCTCAGAAACGCCAGCCGCCGGCTGAGATTCCAGCAGCAGCTGGCCCGTGTCCCCTGACCTGGGCACTTCCACCCCCCCAGGCCCCTCCCAAAGCCAGGGACACCCAGGTGTGGCGGCACTCACCGCGGCCCAGCCTCTGCTGCTCCCCGAGAATAGCCTCCTCCAGGGCGCTGCTGTTGGCCCGCAGCTCCCGGGCCCGGGAAGCCAGGCCCTGCTGGACCACCGTCTGCAGACGGGGGACAGGACACAGGTCACACCCATGTGACAGGAGTGGGGCAGGCGACTCGGGGGGCTCCTTCAGCCCGGGGGGGGGCGGTCAGGGCCCCACCTCCCATGTGCGGCTAGCCTGCTGCAGCGCCTGGCCCGCGGCACCCTCGGCGGCCTGCACGGCTCTCAGGATGCTGCTGTAGGCGTTGGCGGCCTCGATGGCGCGCTGGATGAAGCGGTCCTGGTTGACTCCGAGGATGATGCTGTGGGGGGGGGGGCCGAGGGCGGGGTCAGGTGTGTGCAGGTGGGGGCCCAGAGATCCTCAGGGGGCTCAGGGGCCTCCCTGCTGAGGATAACCGCTCCTCCCTCTGGGACCTGCCAACCGTGTCCCGCCGAGGCCCGGCCCGGTCCCCCCGGCACCCTCGGCGAGCCCCGCACCTGGACAGGTTGTGCGCCAGCTGGTCCAGCTGCCATGCATGGGCCTCGGCGGCCTCCACCAGCTCCACCTTGCTGTCGATGGAGGCGAAGGCCCGGATCTTCTCCTGCAGTGGCGCCCGGGCTCCGTCCAGGCTGGCGGCCAGGCGCTCGTACTCCTGGGGGCAGAGGGGCCGGGTGGGACCCGTCCCCTGTCCCCACCCCCTGTCCCCACCCCCTTGGGACCCCAGGGACCACGCTCTGCACGGGGGGGAAAAGCCTCCCGCCCCGCCCAGGGCGCAGCCCCACGGCGCAGTGCTCACCTCCTTGGCCCGGTCCATGCCCTGCAGAAGCTCCGAGACCCGAGCCAGGGTCTCCCTGGCTGCCTGCAGGGTGTTGCTCAGAGTGGCGTTGTCCCGGGACAGCTCCTGCTTGCGACGCTGCAGGGGACGAGCACAGTGTGGTGGTGGCGGCAGAGACAGAGAGATGTGATGGGGTGGGGGCAGGTGACTGGGGTGGAGGGATGCGGGGGGTGAGGCAGGGGTGAAGGGTGGGAGGGGACAAGGGCTGGGTGGGGGTGGGCCCGCACCAGTGCCTCCTCCAGACGCTCCTGGTTGCGGCTGTTGAGCTCCTCGGCCTCCCGCGTGGTGCCCACTGCCCGGTTCAGGGCCTCCCGCAGGTCCATGAGGCCGGCTTCATGCTGCGCCAGCTGCTCCCGGGTGCGGGCGGCCAGGGCCTGGTTCCCCTCCCAGCGGCTGGTCAGCTGCTCCTGCACTCGGGCCAGCACTGGCGGAGATCCGGCATGGGGACGGTCACTCGGGCTGGGACCCCCGGAGCCCGCCCCTGCCCCTGGGCCAAGGCCTCCTCCACTCACATCTCTGGGCCTCGTCCAGCTCGGCCTCAGCTGCCGCCCAGGGGGCCCCCAGGTCGCGGGCCCGCATCTCCCTGAGCATCCGCTCCACCTCGGCCAGGGTCCGGCGCAGCTGCTCGCCCGACGGGGCCGTGGCGTTGGCCGGCAGCAGGTGCTCTGTCACCAGCTCTGAGGGTTTGAGAAGGGGGCTGTCGCGCCCGGGGCCGACACCGGCCGGCTCGGTCCTCTCGCCCCACCCCTACCGCCCCCAGCCGCTGTGCCCCTGCTCAGCCTTCTCCCTCGGCCCCCCCCCCCCCGGGCAACCCCTCCTCCGGTCCAGTGCTCAGCTGGACCTGCCCTTCTTCCCCGACCCTTGGGCTGAGTCAGGTCGCCTCTGATCTCTTCCTAGTGACACATTTCGGTTTGTAATTAAGGTGCTCCCTAGCGAGTTTCCCCAGGGGGCAGGGTGCCCACCGGGCGGGCACCAGCCCACCTCCCACTGCCCTCCCACCCTTTCCCTCTGGTTGCACCGGCTGCCCCTCCCACCTCGGACTGTGCCCGGCTGCTTCCTCGGCGGCCGCACCCTCGGCCCAGTGAAACACCCGAGCTCCCTGGAGGCCGCTGCCTTGAGCCCTGAGCCCTGAGCGTCATCCTGCTCACCCCTGCCCCCCCACCCCCACACCCGGGGCCAGCGCCTACCGCTCAGGGTTCGGCCCAGAGCCTGGACGGTCTCCAGCAGTGTCTGTGCCCGGCCCAGTGTCGCCTCCGTGCTGGCCAGCAGCTGGCCAGCCTGAACTCGGGCCCCTGTGGCCTGTGGACACAGCAGCCCATCAGCCCTGAGCCTCTGCTGGCTGCAGGGCGTGGGGAAAGGCTGGGCCTAGGCAGTGACCTTGGACCTGAGCGGAGACTCAGGAGAGATATGGACAATCTGGGGCCCGGGGGGCGGAGGGGTCCGTGGGAGGAGACCCCTGAGGGGCGGCCCTGAGGGCCTTGAGGTCCTGCCTGTCCGTCCAGCCGCTGGGTGTCCTGCCCGAGGCTCTCGCTCTGCCCCTCCAGTGCCTCCAGCTGCCGCACGGTCTCGTGGAGGGGGCCTCCCAGGCTCCGGAGCTGGTTCTGTGGGGAGGGGACTGTGAGGGCCTGCCGCTTGGGGTGGGGAGGCCAGGGGGCCGCCGCTCAGTACCTGCAGGTCGGCGATGGAGGCGTTCAGCCTGTGCAGCCGGGCCCAGGCCGCAGAGCTGATGTTGATGCCCTGCAGCTGCTCCCGGATGGTGGGAAGGAGGCCGCCGAGCCGCTCCAGGTCATCCAGCAGCAGCACCACGCAGTGGTCGCACACTGGGCAGGCAGGTAGACAGGTGGGGCGGGTGAGCCAGGGGGTGGAGGGCAGCCAGGGGCTGCTGAACTGGGCTAAGGTGAGGGCCAGAGGTCAGCCCAGGGGGTTGAGGGTCAATGTAAGGACAGATGCAGCATCCCTCAGAAAACTGAGAGGAAGAGTTGTGGCCACAGGACTCCCCTGGGCGTTGAGGTCAATGCTGGGGTCGCCGGGTCAGTGGGGGCTGGAGGAGGGGGTGTGGTCGAGGGCGGGGCGGGGCAGCGGGGCGTGGCGGGGCAGGGACCCACCTTCGCAGTGCACACCGGGGGCCCCGGGCCGGCCAGGCACCGGCACCTGGTGCTGTTGGCTGCAGGTGTCACAGCGGTCCCCGCTGAGCCCCGGGGGGCACATGCAGCGGCCTGTGTGCACGTCACAGTGGCCCCCCTGGCACTGGCAACCTGGGGTGGGGGGCAGAGGGTGAGAGGAGTGGCTGGCAGAGGGCCCCTGGGTGCTCGCCACCCCGAGGTGCCCCACCCCATGGGCCCCACTCGCCACACTCACGCCTGCAGCCTTGCTCAGGGCGGCCCCAGTGGCCGGCAGCACACTCTCGGCACTGGAGCCCCCCCGCCCCAGGCCGACAGTGGCACTGCCCACTCTGGGGGTGGCAGTCAGAGCCCTCGGAGGCTGGTCCGCAGGCGCACGGGCGGCAACCCCCACAGCCCTCGAAGCCGAAATGTCCTTCCTGCGGGCACAGGTGTGGTCACAGCTCTGGCCAGCCCTCAGGACCCTGCCTCCGCCCCTCCTTCCACTCTAAGTTCCCACCCTCCAGCCCGAGGCCCCGCCCCTGCACACCAGAGCCCACCCTCCAGCCCGAGGCCCCACCTCTCCAGCCCGAGGCCCCGCCCCTGCACACCAGAGCCCACCCTCCAGCCCGAGGCCCCACCTCTCCAGCCCGAGGCCCCGCCCCTGCACACCAGAGCCCACCCTCCAGCCTGAGGCCTGTCCCAGGCAGCCGTACCTGGCAACGGTCACAGCGAGGCCCTGTCACACCGGCCTTGCACAAACACTGTCCACTGTGGGGGTCACAGGCCTCTGTCCCACACGGGGAGCAGTCGCACCCTATAGGAGGTGGAACTGTGACAGTAGCCCTTCCCCCCCCCCCCCGCCTCTCCCCTCCCCCACACTTACTGAGCAGGAGGAAGGCCGCCCCTCGGATCCTCGCCTGCCCCCCACTTTTTACCACCTTCCCCTGGTCCAGAGTGCGAGGACGTCCCACCCGACCACAGGTGGCCCCCTCACTGTCCCACCCCGCCAGAGGGACCGGCCGGAGCCCTCCCGGGGTTCACCCTCAGTAGAGGCCGGCCCCGGCAGAGGACACAGCCTGCTCCCAGGGACATCCAGCACCCGCGCTGGGCCGCCCCACCCCACCCCGAGGGACCTACGGGTGCAGTTTCCTGGCAGCAGGGCGTTGCCGTAGAAGCCGGGGGCGCAGGTCTCGCAGTGGGGCCCGGCGGTGTGGTGCAGGCAGGTGCGGCAGGCGCCCGTCAGGGGGTCGCAGTCGTTAAAGAGCAGGTTGGGGTCCCCGTTGCCGCTGCAGTTGCAGGGCCGGCACGAGCTGCCCAGCACCAGCGGGTTCCCGAAGAAGCCGGGGGCGCACCTGGGGCGCGGGCGGGGTCAGCGGCGCACTCGGCTGCGCCCCGCCCCGCCCCCACCTCGTAGGCGCCGCCCCCCGGGGCTCACCGCTCGCAGGACGCTCCCGCGTAGCCAGGTTTGCACAGACACTGCGCGCGGCCCCCCGTGAAGACGCAGCCCACCGCGAAGCTGCCGAGACGGAGGTGGCTGTCACGCACCCGCACGGCCCGCAGGAGCGCCCCTCGTATCCAGACCGCGCTGGACGCCAGGGGCCGGGCATCACCCGTCACCCCCACCTCAGGGGCCCACCCAGCTGCCCCGGCCACGGAGGACGGGAGGACGGCAGGGTCGGCTGGACCAGCTTACTTGTTGGAAGGCACCGAAACGGGGCAGGGGCAGCTGACGCAGGGGGCTGCGGGGTCCTCGGACCCGCTGCGCACGAAGCCGGCCTGGCAGCGCTCGCAGTGGTCGCCCTCGGTGTTGTGCTGGCAGCCCTGGGGGGAGGGGCGGGGGGCGGGTCAGCACGGAGGACGCTGACTTCCAGCTCCCGCCCGCACTCCGCCCAGAGGCCTCCGCACGCCTCCGTGGGTCCGTAACCCCTCGTGGGTGCCTTGGTGGCTGCCCTCCCTCCGCCAGGGCCCACTCACCACGCAGGTGCCCGTGCCAGGGACGCAGAGGTCTGAGTGGCCGTGGCACTGACAGGGGACACAGCGACCCAAAAAGAGCCCTTTGACGTCCCGGTAGTAGCCGGGGGCGCATTCCTGGGGGGCGGAATCGGCATGGGGGTCAGCAGCGGAGGCTGGCCAGCCCGGCTCAGGGGCGGACCGGGAACCGCGCTCACGAGCCAGACTCAGGCGGACCGGCGGGCAGCCGGGCAGCGAGCGTGTCAAGGGCGGGGACACCGGGTGACAGGGGACGAGCAGACAGCGGCTGGCCCGGCCCGAGGTGGGGGGGTCGGGCTGCTGGGAGGGTGGCACCCGGCAGGTGGAAGGTAAAGTGGGGTGGCAGCAGCGGGGACCCAAGGCAAGAGTGGGCGGCCCGCCCCTCCCCCACCTCACCTGGCAGGAGGCCCCCAGGTAGTTGGCGGGGCACATGCACAGCTCCACGCTGCTGGCCGGAGGCCCCCTGCCCGCCTCGCCGGCCACCTCCAGCGCCACCCCGCGCAGGGAGACGGCGGAGGAGACCCTGGAGAAGAGCGCGCGGATCTGCAGCTGCTGCAGGCCGGCCAGCACCATCATGAGCTCCTCGCGGGACACGGGGCTGTGCGTCTCCGCGTGCCGGAAGTTCCCCTGCGGGGCCACCACAGTCCTCAGTGGGCGGAGCCGGCGCCCGCGACAGACCCTCCCGCGGGGGCGGGTCACGCCCGGGCTGGAACCAGCCGCCGCCGTGGGGGGAGGGGAGGGAGCCCCAACAGCCCACGGTCGCTGTCATCGTCGGGGGTGGAGTGGCCCCGGCCCCTCCCTCCCGTGGGGCACAAACCCCAGCTCTGGGTGCGGCGAGTTTTCCAACAAAGAGCGAGTTGGAGCTTTTAGAAAGAAAACCGGACGTCAGGGAGACACACTCTCTCTTAAGGGAGACGCAGAAATGCCCACTGCCGATGGGAACGCCGCGCGTCCGAGAGCGGGGAGCGTGAGGACTTCTGCCAACCCGAATGTCTCAGAGGGGACGGGCGCGCTACCACCCGGGAGGGGACGGCCACTTCTCCGACCTCGGGCGTGGGGCAGGCACGTGTCAGGAGCGACAGCGAGGCCTCGGGAGACAGGCTTCGACCCCCAGCCGAGAGTGGGCGGGGCAAAGACACAGGCAAACCCCAGTGGGGAGCCCCGGGGCCCAGCAGGGGGCAGGGACGCAGGCTGGCTGGGGCTGGGGCTGGGGCTGGGGCTGGGGGCGGGGCCCGCTCCACCCACCTCCACCAGCTGCAGCTGCCCGCGGTGCCCGCGGCCGGGCTCCGGGTACACCGGCTCCAGGAACATGATGCTCATCTGGTTGCCCTGGGGAGGCAGGCAAGGGCCCCGTCAGGGCTGCCCGAGTGCTGGCTGCGCCGCGCCCGCCCGCCCGGCTGCCCGACCACCCCGTCGGCCACCTGCAGCACCACGTCCGGCCTGCTCTCCGTGGGGAGGAACACGTCTCCACGCTGGATCTCCGAGTGCAGCTCGTAGCGGAGGGTCCCCCCGTAGGATGACACCTGGAGGCCGGGCAGAGGAGTGTGACCTGGCCAGACGCTGCCCACGGGTCGAGTCGTCTGCGGCGGCCTTGGGCACGCTCTCGGAGCCCCTGCGCCTCCCTGCACACAGGCACCGCGCCACCCCCCACCCCCCCCCCGCCCCAAAACCGGGGCGCCTGCTCACCCGGTCCCCCAGGTAGGAGGGGGGCGCCTGCCAGTACAGCTCCGGGGAGCCCTCGGGGACTCGCCGCAGGTCCGCGTAGAGCAGGCTGCCCTCCTCCCGCAGCTCGTGGGGCACCACCTGCCGGTCGCCGCTCACCAGCGTCCAGCCCTCCATGTCCACGAACTGCGGAGCACAGGGGCGGGTGAGCGCCGCCCCAAGTCCCAGGGCCCGCCCTCCAGGGCAGACTCCGCTGATTGGCGAACAACGTGGCCCCTCCCCGAGGCGGGGCGGCCCCGCCCACGCACCTCCTGGCGGCCGTGGGTGGAACTGCGGCAGCGCTCCGTGGCCCCGAAGCAGAAGCAGCGAGTGCAGCCTTTGGGGTTGGCAGCGTCCAGGGAGAAGGTCCCGACGCGGCACTGGTCACATCTGGGGCCCTGGACGTTCTCCTGGGGGTGGAGGTCAGGGCGAGCCGGTTGGCGGGCCGTGTGCGGGCCCCCGGCTGCCTCGTCTCCTCGTCACCCCGTCGTCGGCAGGCGGCGGTTCTCCCACACCACCCGGGGGTCCCGGCCGTCCCAGGGGACGGGCTGCTATGGGTGAGGCAGGGCGAGGGGCAGGTGGGGCGCAGGCCCCGGTCCCCCCGGGACCCTCGCCCCTCACCTTGCAGCGGCACTGGCCTGTGACGGGGTCGCACACGCCGGGCGCAGAGCCGGCGTGCAGGCAGTCACAGGGGCGGCAGCCGGGGTAGCCGTAGAAGCCTGGGGCGCAGGTGTCACAGCGGCGCCCAGCCACGTGGGGTCTGCACCTGCCGGGGGCAGGGGTTCAGAAGCCGGCTGGGCCTGCCCTCCACCCGGACCACTCACGCTGAAGGGAGAGACGGCAGGCGGCCCCCGGCCCCCCAGACGGAAGGGGAGCGCGCTGAAGAAACCCAGGAGCGATCGTGGGGGCAGTGTGGGCTCCGCCCAGAAGTGTCCCCAGGCCCCTGGAGGCCCCTGGCCCGGGCCCTCACTTGCACTGGCCGCTGTCCTTGTCGCAGGTGGGGTCGGTGAGCTCCTGCACCCCGGGGCCCGAGCAGTTGCACTCCTCGCAGCCGGCCAGCGGGTGGCAGCCGAAGGTGTGGGGCTGGCAGACGGTGCACGCGGGCGGGACGGTGCGAGGCGGGCAGATGCAGCGGCCGGTCAGCTCCTCGCACAGGCGGCCACTGCAGTCGCAGGCTGTGGGGTCGCCCGCAGGGCTGGTGGGCCTGTCTGCCCCACGGGGAGGCCCAGGCCGCGGCTCGGGGCGGCGCATCCCCGGCCTCCCAGCCCGGTCCCCCACCCCCCAGCTCCACGCCCAAGCCTCAGGCGGCTCCTCCAGCCCGGGGTCAGAGGCCCAGAACCTTCTGGACAACCCTGTAAGGCCTGGGCCAGACACTGCCCGAGGTCCCATGGACAGGAGGTGGCTGGGCTGGTCTGCCAGGCTCTAGAAGGTTCTCCTGACCACTGTCCCTACTTCCTGGGGAGCCCCCTGGATCAGAAAGCACCCCCCCTGAATTCAGGCGCCACCCCCCCCCCCGTGCTGGCGAAGCCATGGACCGAGGTACTCACGCCTGCAGTTGGGGAAGCCCCAGTAGCCGGTGGCGCAGCGGGAGCAGTCTCGGCCAATGACGTACGCACGGCAGGGACACTGGCCCCCAAAGGGCTCACAGGTAGGGCCGGTGGCACCCACTTCGTGGCAGCCGCAAGGCCGAGCCCCATTGTTGTAGAAGAGGGACAGGGAGGTGGCGGCGTCACGGCAGAACTGGGACGAGCTGGTGGGGCTGGGGCGAGGCGCACGTGGTGAGGCCAGCTCCCGGCCTGGACTGGCCCCGCCCCAGAGCCCCGCCCCTGCCTGGAGCCCCGCCCCTCCCCGCCCTGAGCCCCGCCCACCTGATGTGGTAGCCCTGGCTGGCACACTGGCTGATGAAGTCGTAGGATTTGTCCAGGGGCTCCTCCCGGAGGTAGCTGGGGCTGTAGGCGTCCTCGGGGACCACCAGCACGTACTCCTAGGGCACCAGGGTCTGGTCACCTCCCAGGAGCCCAGCAGAGGGCCCGCGTCCGGGAAGTGTGTCGGAGCCTGCTGGCTGGAGCTGAGCTCCAGGGGCCACCGCGACCAGCCACCATGTGGCTGGGCAGCTAAGACGGAGTTGGCATCACCCCTTGGGCCCAGGCCCCGGCGAGGCTGGCAGGGTCTGGGTCCCTGCCTGGGCTGCGTGGAGGGTGGCTGGACTCCAGGCCTCCCGGGACCTTGGGGAGCGGGAAGAGGCAGCACCTTCTGCCAGGGGCCCTCCCTCCGTCCCCCTGCAGGCCCTGCCCGCTCCAGGAAGACCACCCTGACCGGCAGGGCTCTGGGGGATTGGTGCCCCCTCTGGAGTCTCATGCTCTGGAGGTCCCCAGAGGTTGCTGCCCCTGACATCCAGCATGGGTGCAGGCGGGGGACACACCGTGGCTGAGTGGCCTCGGGCCGTGTGACAGGTGTGGGGACGGCTGGTCCCTGGACAGGTTCAGGATGCCCACACGCAGGGACACCAGCCTCAGGACTCACCAGCCACAACCACCGGCCCTTGGGCACGCGCACAGTCACGGTGAGCTCGCTGTCGGTCACGTCCAGGACGGCCCGGCCCTCACACACCACCAGGACGCGGCAGCCGTAGGCATGTGGGCAGAAGGTGGCGTTGGCATGGCCTGGAGGGGCAAGGACAGGCAGGTCAGCCCTTCCCCCGACAGACCACCCTGGGTCGGCAGGGGCGAGGACTCGGCCCCACACCCCACGAACCAGTGTGGCCCCTGGGCTGGGCCACGAGAAGACAAAACAAACGTGTAGGAACACGTGTGCCGTCAACCCGGGACCCGTGGTGACCCCTCCATCACCCGTGTGTGATGGGCGACCCCTAATCCGTGGAACGGGTGGGAGGAGCAGAGTCTGGGAAGGGGACAGGAAGGCGGGGCTGGCTGCACAGGACACTGGGTGGGCCCCGGGGCACCTCGCTGGGGAACTGGCGGCAGGCGGGGGCGGGTGGGCCTGTCACTCCCAGCCAGGTCCATGGGCCACGTGACCTGCGTAATCGGCACATCACCTGCCCGAACCACATGGTGACCCCACGACAGGGCCGTGTGGGTGAGTTCCCCAACGGGCTCCCAGTCTGGAGCTGTGCTGCCCCCGCCGCCCGCCGCAGCCACTCACCCTGCCAGACGCGGCCGCCGTTGATGAGGACCTCCACCGGGAAGCTGGGGTGGTCGGGCTGGTAGCCGTGCAGCAGGAAGGCGTAGCGGCCCAAGGCAGGCACGTGGGTGGCGAAGACCACCGTTCCCTGCAGGCAGCGGCGCCGTGCGTGAGCTGGCAGGGGAGGGGGGACGTGGGGGCCCCCCTGCGAACCCTGCCTGCCCACGTCCCTGTCCCCAGGCCTGGCCCCTCACCTGGGGGTGCTGCAGCAAGGTGGGCTCTGCGTCGGGGTCCACAGCGGTGGGGGGCCGAGGCTGGGGCCCCGGTGGGGCGGTGCCCGGCGTGAGCTCCTGCGAGAGGGTCAGCGGGAGGCTGGGTGGCAGCGGCAGCACCTGGCAGTCCCTGAGGATGATGGGCTGGGGCGGCTTCGGGAAGCGGGAGGGCAGGCAGGTGGCGCTGCGGGGGGCACAGGGGTGAGTCCTCGTCCGGGTCAGTGTGCCCGCTGGCTGCTCCGCCCCGCCCCGCCCCCGAGCCCGCTACCTGCTGGGGCTGAAGGCCCCGTGGCTGCTGACACAGTGGACCTGGGGCTCCACGAACTCCAGGCTGAATGTCTCCACGGGCACCAGAGTGACGCTGTGCTGTGGGCAGAGGGCCGGGCGTGGACGTGGAGGCGCAGGTGCAGCCGTCCACCCCGGCATCGGCCACCAAGGCTCCGCCTGGCTCTGCCGGCCCCTCCTCCGGCGGCCCAACCCCTTGCCCTCAACTGCAGCTTCTGGGGCCTGCGGCACCTCCCAGCTGTCCCCAAGGCCACTACTCTCCGCGGGCCACCCCCTCACCACCGGCAGTCTGACTGCCTGCTCTCCCCGAGCTCCCGGGATGGGGTCTCAGGTTCCTGCCCTGGACCGTCCCCTGGGACCGGAAGTGTGCGCCTGACAAACGCGACCAAAACAGGGCGTGGCAGCTGGGTGACCACAGCAGCACCCACATCCGTCCCCCACACGGGGTTGGCAGGGGGGCGCCCTGTGTGACTCGTTATGGAGAGTTCTGGAAGGGGCAGAGCCGGGATGCCCTCGGGGTGCGGGTGGCTGCCCTGGGGGCCTGCGGGGTGTCCTGTGCGCCGTGGGTGCGCTCCCACGTGTGTGGGAGTGCTCCGTGGAAAGGTGGACAGAGCCTGGTCCTTGGACGGGGGTCCGGGGGGAGCTCGGGGCCCAGCATGGACAGACTGGCAGCAGCCACAGCGGCCCGTGTCTGCTGGTGACACAGAGAGGCACTCGGACTCCGCAAAGTGGGGTTGGCACCCTGGGGCGCGGGGCCCCTGTCCTGCGTGGCCAGTCTCTCGTCAGTACCGGACGCTCAGATGAAAACTGTGCATTTATGGCTCCGAGGAGTCTCCCAACGGTCTGGGGACCGCGACACAGCGGACCGTGGGGCGCCGTGGAGGGGTGCCCCAGAACCACGGAGCCTGTGCCGTGTCCGGCCATCGCGACGGCTTAGCCCCCAGGAGCTTGCCAGCCCGGCGAGGCTGGTGTGGGCGCAAGACCCGCGGCACAGGACACGGCTGAGCCCTCAGCGTCAGGATGCCCAGCGAACAGGACCCTTCCCAGCGCCGGGGAGGGCCCCTGGGCACGCGGTGGGGGGTTTCGGTGAGTTATGCCCCAGACAGGCTTTCGCTAAGACCACCGTCTCTTCTCACCCCGACTCAGGGACTCACGCGTCCCCGTACGGGGCCCGGGGGCGTTACTGGTAAATAGAGAAGCGTCTCGTGCCCCGAGGAGGGGAGAAAAGCCCGCGGGGGAGGGGTTCTGGGAGAACCAGGACAGGGCACGAGCAGACCCGGCCCTGGAACACTCGTCTCCCTACTTGTTCCGTGGGTCTAAAATCTGAGCGATCTGCCCTGGCTGGTGTGTCTCAGCGGACTGAGTGCAGGCTGCGGACCAAAGGGTCGCCGGTTCGATTCCCAGTCAGGGCTCATGCCTGGGTTGCCGGCCATGACCCCAGTGGGGGCCACATGAGAGGCAACCACACAGTGATGTTTCTCTCCCCCTCTTTCTCCCTCCATTCCCCTCTCTCTAAAAATAAATAAAATCTTTAAAAAACATATTTAAAGTGAAGTAAAATAAAATCTAAAACATCTCACCTCACCCCCGGGGGTCCTGGGGCCGGTGCAGGTGAGAGGTCAGAGGTCAGGGGTCAGGGCCTTACCAGGAAGAAGTGGGCCTGCTCTGCAGTGAGCCGGATGCTGGCGTCCGTGTCCAGCTGGAAGACCGCTGGGAGCTGCTGGTGGTCCAGAGCGGCACCCCGGCATAGCGTGCTGGGGGGGGCGGGGCGGTCAGCAGCCGGGCAGCCCCAGGGCCCGACCCTCCCACCGGGCCTGCAGCCCTCCCACCCCTCCGGGCGCACCTGTACAGGCAGGGGTGCAGCGTGAGCACCCCCTGCTGGGGGGGCTGCCGGGGGGTGTGCACAGCCACGCCCAGCTCCTGGCGGGCCGCCTCGTTGGCGTACTGCACCACCAGGGTGTAGCGGCCCGGCCTGGGCACCGCCACCTGCAGCTGGACATCCACCTGGGGGGGCGGGGTGATCAGAGGCCCCTCCCGCCCCTCCCCCCAGAGAGCAGGACCCCACGGGGACACTGCTGGACGCTGCCAGGGGCCCTCATCCCAGGACACTGCAGCCGCTCCCCGCCTGGCCTGCCCGCCCACCCACGGCCCCGTGCTGAGCCTTCGGAGGGGACCAGCGACCCGCGTGGCCTCTCGGTGAGCCCAAGGGCCGGGGCTGCGGACCGGGCCCCCCGGGTGTCCTGGCTGCCAACGCCAGGCCCTGGCCTTGCCCGAGTCACTCCCGCCCCGCGCCTGTGTCCCGTCTCCCCCCAGGCCAAGGGCACCCTCCCCGCAGGTCTGGACCCCGGGGACACGCACGTCGCTGCCCCGGCAGAGGACCAGCGGGGGGTGCGAGGGGCTGAGCTGCTCCGTCGGGCAGGGCCGAGGCAGGCTGTTGTCCTGCAGGCACAGGGCCCCGGGCCCAGGGGCCGAGGGGAAGCCGTCCAGGGGCAGGTGGGCGTAGAGGAGGCAGCTGTGGGTGGGGGCACGGTCCAGGTCAGCTTGGGACCAGCGGCCTGAGCACCGGGAGGGCCGGCCCCCCGCCCCCGAGAGGCGGCCCTCACTTCTCCGCGGAGCCCTGGGCGGCGGGCCGGAAGGTGCAGGCCTCGGTCACCCGCAGCTGCAGCAGGGCGGCCTCGTAGTAGGCGCTGGGCAGCAGGGCCACATAGTCCTGGGGGCGGGGGCGGGGTGGGAGGTTGGTGCTGCGGCCTCGCCCGGCCCCGCCCTGCCCCCCCACACTCTTGAGCCCCTGCCTCACCAGGAGCACCCCCTCGGCCTCCACGAGCAGGGCCCAGGTGCCGGGGTTCAGCACGAAGGGCTCCCCAAAGCCCCTCTGAGGCACAGTGACGAAGGCGGGCTCCGTGCTGGGCAGGAAGACAACAGGCTGGCTCTGCTCCGTGCCTGGGGGGGAGGGGCAGGGTAGCTGGGACTGGACGTGGACGGGGCGGGGCCCGGTGGGATGCCGGTGCCAGCGGGTGCAGGGGGCGGGGAGAGGGGTGCGGGCGCGGCACCCCCCGCTCCCCGGCACTCACAGTTGGTGCAGGCGGCAAACTTGCTCTCCTCCTGCACGGAGACACGCCCGCTCACGCTGGTGGGCCCGCGGTTGACGTAGCGGAAGACCAGCCAGAAGAGGTCAGGGGAGGTCACGGTCAGCCTGGCCACGATCCTGGGCTGGGGGTGGGGAGTGGAAAATCGGAGTCGCCCCTCCCTGGCCACTCCCAGCCCAGGATCCTGGGGCTCCCCAGGCCCACCCACCCATCCCCCTGGGTGCTGCCCACAGAGCCCGGGGGGCCGCAGCCCCAGGCCCACCTGGATGGGCGCCATCTGGGCGTAGCCCCGCCAGCTGAAGTTCTCGAACTCCAGCGGGTTGAAGCCGAAGCGCACCGCGTGGCCCTCGGGCGTGGCTGCCTCCTCCAGCTCCAGGCGCAGGTGGTGCAGGTCCGGGAGGTAGTGGTTCCGCGCCGGCCTGGCCAGGGCAGCCGTGCGTTTGGGCAGGGTGGGCACTGGCCCCGCTCGGCCCCCGGGACCCCGGGGACAAGCCCAGGGGCCGGGCCACCCTCCCCCCAGCCCGGGTGGAGTGGGCACTCACTCGCTGCAGGTGGGGCCCTGGGTGTTGGGGCGGCACCGGCAGGCGCCCGTTCTCGGCTCACAGCCCTGGCCCAGCGCACCGCCGACGTTGCACCGGCAGCCTATGGGGGGTGGGAGGGGGGCAGGTCAGCGCCCCACCCCGGACCCTGCTCCGTGCTCACGGGGCTCCGTCCGCCTTGTCGTGTGGCTGAGGCACCGCCTGGCACTCTGGACGGGGGAGGTCCCGAGGCCGGGCCCAGGGGCAAGGGGGTGGATCCGTGAGGCCCGAGGGCACAGGACTGAGCGGAGGAGGCCTGAGGGCAGAACCCCGCCCGTGCCCGGGTCCCGCTGGGGACCCCCGAGGCACCTGTCCCGCCTTGGGCTCAGCCTCCCCCGGGACGGGGCCCCAGGGCCCAGCAGGCGGGCGCTCACTGCGGCAGCCGAAGTAGTCGGCCCGGTCCAGCCCGAAGAAGCCGTCCTTGCAGGCCGCGCAGGTCTGGCCGCAGGCGTGAGGCTTGCAGAAGCACTGGCCACTTCCCTGGGGGTCGGGAGGAGGTGGGGTTGGGCGGGCGGGGTCTCCCCCACCCCCGTGCCTATCCCACGGCCCCTGGTGCCTGGGCCTGCAGACTCACCAGCTGGCACTGGGCGGCCCCTCCCAGCGTGCCCCTGGGGTCGCAGCTGCAGCCTGGGGGAGGGCAGAGCAGGACTGAGAGTGCGGTGGGGGCGGCGGGGCCTGGGCTCTGCGGGGCCGGCCCTCACCTCCCGACCCCCTCAGGCGTCTCCCCCAGCCCCAACACCCACTCCGGGGAGACTCACGGGTGCAGCCCTCAGGGTTGGTGGGACTCAGCCCCCAGAACCCCGGTTTGCAGCGGTCACAGCTTGGCCCCTCCACGTGCGCCCGGCACCTGCAGGGGGCCTGTGTCTGGGGGAGGGGGAGACCGAGGGTCAGAGTGGGCCCCCACCCTGCTCGCCAGGAACCCTCAGCCCTGGAGCCCTCACCCTGGGCCAGCTCGGGGGTGCCCCTGGAGTGGGGACTGAGGGCCAGCAGGGGAACAAATGAGACTGGGGGTCGCCCCAGCACCCCATTACTACGGGGTGCGATGGTCTCAGCCCCGCGGAGGGCTGACCGGGACTCACCTCGGAAAAGACGCCATCGCCCGGGGCCAGGCCAGCAGGGTGGCAGGAGCCGGCTGTGGAGAGACCCCCCCCTCCCCGCGGTCATTCCTTGTCTTTGATCCTGCCGGCCAGGCACCGCCCCCGGCCTGGCCGGGACCCACAGCTCCCACAGGCGTGAGCAGGCGTGAAGACGTGCACCTCCGTGCTCTGGTCCCACACTGGGAGGGCGTCCCTCCCTCTCCCCCCACCCCCTGCACATGGTTAGGGACATGCAACAAGCACACACTGCACGTGAGTAAGCGTGTGAATGCACACCACGCACACGGCATGTGCACACACATCCAGGAACCACCACGCAGAGCTGTGTGTGGACACTTATGAGGTGCATGGATGTACACGCAAGCACACGGGCCTCACGTGAACACACGCGAGAACAAGCACGCGGGCACAGCCCCGCCAGCCTCACCTTCGCAGGCGGGGAAGCCGTAGGTGCCGGGCTCGCAGGCATCGCACCGCAGCCCCGTCACGCGGGGCCGGCAGCGGCACTGCCCGCTGCGGGGGTCGCAGGCGGCGTGCAGGGAGCCTTCCGCCGAGCAGTGGCAGGCTGGGGGAGGAGGGGGTGTGGGCACCTGGTGGCCGGCAGGCGCCTGCCCGCCCCCCCAAGCTCCCACCCCGCCCAGGGACACTCACGGGTGCAGGAGGGGTAGCCGTGGAAACCGGGGCCGCACTCCTGGCAGGTGGCGCCGGCGTAGCCAGGGCGGCAGCGGCACAGCCCGCCCGCGCCGCAGAGCTGGTCCAGGGCCCCGTGGGGGTCGCAGCTGCAGGCTGCGAGGGACACAGGGTCAGGCCCCGGCTCCACGGGGGCGTGCCGGCCCCTCCCCCCAGGCCCCGGCCGCTGCTCACCGCGGCAGTCAGGGTAGCCATGGTGGCCTGGGCGGCAGCGGTCACAGTGGGGGCCTTCGAACTCGGGCCGGCAGGGGCAGCGGCCGGCCTCGTCGCAGCCCGTGGGCAGGGTCCCCGCAGGGCTGCAGCCGCACACTGCGGGGCGGGGAGGCGCATGGGGCGCTGAGCGGGGTGGACGGGGCCCCAGCCCACGCCCCCCACCTGTGCCCACCGGGGACACCCCGCTCACGCTGGCAGAGGGGGAAGTGGAAGTAGCCGGGGGCACAGCGGTCACACGCGGCCCCCTCGAAGCCCGCCCGGCAGGTGCACCGGCCAGAGTCTCGGTCACAGTCGCCGTGCAGCACCCCGGGGCTGGAACACTGGCACGCTGCGGGAGGGGTGGCCTCTGGGTCAGAGCAGGGCCGGCGGCCCGCATCTGTGGGGTCGGGGGGGGGGGCGGGACTCACGCTGGCAGTCGGGGCCGTGGAAGCCCGGGGCACACAGCTCACAGTGGTCGCCCTGGAAGCCGGGTTTGCACAGGCAGCGCCCGGCCCGCGCGTCCCGCTGGCAGGCGTTGTCCTGGGTCCCGGCGGCATTGCAGTCACAGTCTGCGGGTGGGCAGGACGGGGGGCTCAGGGGCCTGCAGGCCCAGCCCCCCCACCGCCGACCTCCCTCCGTCACCAACACCTCCCCTGGCACTGTCACGCGGCACAACGGCAGACGCCCAGTGGGTGCCAGGCCTGCTGCGGGAGGTTGCCAGGGAAGGCGCATGGACGTCTGACCGCTGCCCTGTGCGTGACAGCGTAGGTCGGGTGTGACTGGAAATGGTCTTTAATGTCAAATGGAGCCAATGAACGACAATGCAGAACTGGCCCCCCGACTTGGAGAAGACGGTTGTGAGTGGTACAGTGAACACAGGGCTGACCCTCAAAATACATGGAGCACTCATGCCGCTCGACACAAAAAAAACCAACAGTCCGATTAAAAACTGCACGGAGACCGGACACTTCTGATCAGACGCTCCTCCGAAGAGGACACACAGGTGGCCGACGGACCCATCGTGACAAGATGCTCAGCGCCACGAATCACCAGAGAGATGCACCTTAAAACCGCAGTGAGACGCCCCCTCACACCGGTCAGAACGGCCGTCACCAGCACATCGACAACCAACCAGAGCTGGCGAGGACCTGGCGGAAAGGGACCCGCGCACCCCGCTGGCGGGGACGCGGGCTGGGGCAGCCGCGGTGGCCAAGCCGTGTGGGGGTCCTCCGAAAACTAACAGCGGGGCTGCCCCGCTGGGAAGGCGTCCGAAGAAAACGAGACTAACCGACTGACTGGGAGAGAGATCCCGCCCCGTGTGCGTGCGGTGCAGCGTGGTCGGCCGCCACCACAGCCGAGACCCGTCCCGCTGGGAAGGAAGACCCCTGCTGGGGACAGGGACACGCCGTGGACCAGAGGACGGCCCCCGGCTCCAGAAAGACTCAGGAGGAGGGGTGTGGGTCCTTCCCCGGGGTGGGGGGGACAGTCAGGCTGGCGGTGAGAAACCTTGCCGCGTCCTGAAAACAGGGACCTGATTTATTGCGTGGGGGCCGGTGCACAAGGGCGGGCAGTTTCACCCTGAGAGCGAGGGGGCGGTCACAGCCCGAGGGTCCCGGCGCGTTCCCCTGGAGCCTGGGCAAGGAGGGCCGTCCCTCTGGGGAGGAAATCTTCCTCCGCAAGCGCTAGGAATTTATGGGAAGCTTGAGCGGCAAGGATGTTTATCCAAGCAGGACTCAAAAAAGGAAAATTGGAAAGAACCTAAATTTCCAGCCACTGGGAGTCGGTTAAATAAACGCTCCCTCTTCCTGTGCCTCGCGGGACAAGAAGGGACTCGTTGACAGGGCGGCGGTGCGCGGAAGGCGCAATCCTGAAACGCACACCTGCGTGTGTCAGCGCCGAGCGTGCACGTCCACGCGAGGGCCCGGCGCTGGGAAGGGGGGTTATTTGTGGGGGTGGGTCGCTGGGGAAACGCCTCCCTGGACCCTTCGCTCACCTGGGTTTTTTGACGCTTTTCTGGCGTGAATGTTTTGTTTGCATAAAATGCGAAGGACCGAGATGAAACCCCTGCCCCAGGTGTGGTCCCCTCCCGCCCGGCCGCCCCGGGGGGGGGGGACTCAGGGCACGGGGCGGGGGGGGGGGGCGCGGAGCACACTTACTCACGATCTGTCCCGCCGGCAGCGTCTGCGCCCCGCTGCTGTTGTGGGCGGGGGCCACGGCTGGGGAGGAGATGCGCCCGTCAGCCCGGTGGTCCCCCCCCCGCCGGCGCACGCTGGGGGGAGGGGCGGGACGGGAGGCCCCCGCCCCGCCCCCCGGGCGGCCCGCGCCTCACGGTGGCAGTGCGGGAAGCCCTCGAAGCCCGCGGCGCACGCCTCGCACCGCTCCCCCGTGAAGTTGCGCCGGCAGTAGCAGCGGCCGGTCAGGTCCTCGCACGTCCCGTCCGTGAACTCCGACTCGCAGTCGCAGCCTGGGGGGCGGGGCGCGGGAGCGGCCGGCCGTGAGACCCCAGCGCAGGGGCCTCGGCCCGGACAGGCTCTCTGCCTCCCCCGTCTGGGCAGTGGGGGAAGCGCAGCGGCCCTGGCTTCCGGAGCGGTGGGCGCGGGCCCGGGGGTCGGGGGGGCGGGGACACCCAGACCGCCGCTGCCCCCGCTCCCGGTCAGCCCTGCGCCCGGGGTGCCCCGCCGCGGCCGCCCCACTCACGCCGGCAGGTGTGGGGCGAGTCCAGGGGGTGGTCCGGGGAGCGGTAGAAGCCGGGCAGGCACAGCTCGCAGTTGACGCCGGTGGTGTGGTGCTGGGGGAGGGGCGCAGCGCCACTGAGTCCCGGCCGGCCCCCCAAGCCCTCCCCCCCTCAGTCACCGCATAGCACCCCCGGCCCCACCCAGCCCCAGCGGGCCCACCTGGCAGTCGATGCACACGCCCCCGCCCCGGGAGACGCCGCCGGGGCCCTGGCCGGCGCCGTGCCGGTCCACCGCGGGGTCGTAGTAGCAGTCGTCCGCGTGGCCGTGGCAATGGCAGGCTGCAGGGAAGGGCAGGCGTCCGGGGGTCAGCAGGCGCCCCATGACCCCGCCTGGCTGGGGACCCCCGGGCCACTTCCCACAACCACCCCAAGTGTGACCTGGCTCGGGCGGCAGCATGGGACACGCATGTGCATGCATGCACACGAGTGGGAGCTGCCGGTGTGCACGTGGGTGCGCGCGTGTGGGGCGCGGGGGCACTCACGCTGGCACTCGTTGGCGCTGTCGGGCGTGGCCGGCTCCCAGGGCCGCCGGTTGAAGCCGCGGCAGCAGCGCTCGCAGGCGCTCCCACAGGTGTTGTGCTGGCAGGCGCACTGCAGCCTGGGGGCGCAGGGGCGGGGCTTAGGCCACGGGGACACGCGGACGCACGGGAGCACGGGGGTCTGCGGGGCCGCGAGGGCAGGGTCGGAGGGCGCACAGGGGCGGGGCACTGAGTGGGCGGGGCACTGAGTGGGCGGGGCGGTGGCCCCTGCCTGTGGGTCCGCCGGGAGCAGGGAGTCCTGGGCTCTGCGGTCCCCTGCAGCCCAGGACCCGAGGCCTCAGCCTGACTCAGCTGACCTCCCCGAGCTCAGCAAGACGCGCCCCCATGCATCCAGGGCACCTCCCCGGGGGGCAGGTGGCCAAGAACTGGTTCGTCTTCCAGCCGGGGGTGGACACCAGTCAGATGGCTGTCCCCTGCCGCTGTCTTGGATAGCACCTCCCGCTGGCTCAGCAGGCAGGGGGACAGCTGACTGCAGCTGGGAACTGAGGGTGCAGCCACCTACTGCCCAGACACCCGCGCCAAAGCCCCACGCCGGCAGAGACCACATGTCAGCCTAGGTGGGGGTGGCAGGGGCCCTACACCAGGCCGGGTGTCCCCAGGGCCTGGCCAGCGCTGTGCCTGACCCCGGGGCCAGTTGTGAAGTGAAACCCGGAGCTCTGGTCCTGCAGCTCCAGCCCTGTCCCTGCGAGCGTCCTTGGGACCTTGGAAATGAGCACTGCTGTCCCTTAGCATCCAGGGACACCGTGGTGGGGGTGGGGGGGGGCTCCAGGGGAGGGCAGCAGGGGCGGCTGCGGGCAGCCTGTCTGTCTCGGAAGTGGAACCTGGGGCCACAGCTGCTGTTGGGTTTTCCGGCAACCGACACGGCCGGGGGGCACCTCTAAACCGAGACATTCACGCAGGGGTGGCGCCAGGCGGGGGCACCCAGGCGGGCTTGGCAAAGGCCCTCGCAGAGCCATGGTGCCGGCCTCGTCCCGACCCGGGGGACGGGGGCGCCCCAGTGATGAGCAGCGTCAGCCACAGCGGCAGACACGGCCCCGGCCCCCGAGATGTCACGACCGGGCAGAAACCGTGTGGTAAGCACAGTCAGATGTTACGAGCTAAGGAATCTAGAGCTTCATTAAGAAAGAAAAGGAATGCCATAAAAAACAAGCAGACGCGACCCAAAGAGCCCGCCGGAATGTCTACAGACAGAAAACGAAACGATCGTGTTTAAGACTCGACGGGTGGGCTGCGCGGCAGAGGGGAGACTCAGCGGGAGGACAGTCCGGAAGACGAGGCAGGGTCCAGATCCAAGACAGAGGGACGCGCGGCCCGGGTTCCAGCAAGAGAGCGGGGACAGGGGACAGAGGAAGGGACCTGGCAGGTAGCGCACTGGCGGCCAGTGGGGGGGGTCCTTGGGGGTCAGAGTCTGAGTCACAAAGCTGGGGTCCTGAGCCAGAAAAAACTCATCTGCCTTTGACACCACGGAGCACCCGGAAGACAGCGTTGTAGCTTCCAGCGGACGCCCCGGGCACCAGAGACGCCAAGAGACCGTGAGCGGCCGCCTCCGAAGTGTCCAGAGACATGGCCTTCGACCGGAAGTCTGCGGCCAGCTGACCGCTCACCCGAGAGTGAGGCCAAATCAGCCGTCCAGACGGCGGCGGACAAACTAGCACAGACGTCCAGGGGACACACCAGTCACCACTGACGGCTCTTGTTCCCCCAGAGCCACCTACTGAACCTGGCCCCCCAGTGGCAGCCTCTGGGGTCTCTGGGGGGTGATGAGGTCGGGAGGGCGGAGCTGTGTTAACGGGATAGGTGTCCTGCCCCCCGCCCCCCACCCGCTCTGCGGGGACTCCGAGAGGCGCCAGGCCTGTGGGCCGGGGAGTGGCCGGGCAGCCTACAGGCAGGGCTGTGAGACGCGAACCCACGATCTCGGGGCTTGTCCGAGTGGCCGGAGAGTCTGGGACGCAGGCAGCAAGGACCGTGGACCGTGCCAGTGCAGAGTGGGGAGGGTGGACGCACAGAGCCGGGCAGGAGGACAGGCAGGCTGCCAAGTGGGCACTCTGGGTGCTGGGTGCCGGAGTCTGGGCCCTCGGGGCTAGCTGAGCTCATTCACGCCCAAGTGCAGGTGAGGCCGGGCGGTGCCGGCACCGCCCCGACAGGCTCAGGCAGACCGGCGCCCTCCCAGACCGCCCCGCCCCCGAGCAGGCGCCCCTCCCAGCCCGCCCGGCTTTCCACCCCGCCAGCTCCGCAGGCAGAAGCCCCCAGGGCTGCCCGAGCCCGCCCTCCTCAGGCCCATCGGCCACCATGGACCGGTCTGGGGTCGGCTTCCGGCCGTGGCTTTGGCCACGAGACGGGGGTGAGACCCTGTGCTGTCTGGGCTCCGCTTGCCCCCGTGCAAATCAGGGTGCAAACCAGGCAGTAAAGCCCCAGCGGAAGGCACAGAGCAGGCCCCAGACCCGAGAGCATGGTGTGGGCCCACATCACCCGCTGACGCCCAGTCTGTGGGCCCGGGGCCTTGGCCCTGCCCGTGGTGGGGGGCCAAGGTCAGGGGCGTGGGCACAGTGCCCAGCCCAGAGCACAGGGGCGTGCAGCCTCAGGCCGACCATCTCGCTGGTGACTCCTGGGCTCAGGGTGCAGGCCAGAGCCCACCTCCGCTGGCTGAGGGGCCCAGGGCGCTGCCCCTCCACCTGGCCGTGCACTCGGGGAAACTGAGGCCTGGGGGTGGTGGCCACCGGGCTGGGGAGAAGGCAGGCATGGAGGCGGGGCTCCTCCGCCGGAGAGAGGGGTGGGCAGGCAGTCTGGAGCCTCACCTGAAGGGGTCGGCGGGGTCCCTGGCGTCACAGACGTCCGCGTGGCCGTGGCAGACGCAGCGGCCGCCGATGCTGATGTCCTTGATGCTGTAATAGTACTGCAGCCGGCTGTGAGCGCCCCGCCGCCCGCCCCGGCCCCGCCACCCCGGCCCCCACCTGCCCGCCCGCCCGCCCGGGCCACCCGCTCACCCGGCGGGTGACGGTGGGGTCCCGCAGCGCCTTGCCCATGAGGTGGCCCAGCAGCGTGTTGGTGCGCAGGAAGCGCAGGCGGATGTTGGTGGCCTTGGTGAAGTCGCGCAGCAGGGGCGAGTAGGAGAAGTTCGTGGCCCCCGGGCGCCCGTTCACCAGCGACACCACGATCTGCGGACGGGACCAGAGAGAGTCAGGCCAGCTCTGCGCCGGGGCCGGCCCCGCCCCGCCCCGCCCGCCGACGCACCTCGCCGTTCTCCAGCGGCACGATCCGGGAGTACTCGGTGCTGCAGACCACGTCGTCGTCCCGGGAGATGCGCTCCAGCGTCCGCGCCCCGAACCGCTCCAGGCAGTCCCTCCTGGAGGCTGCGGGGACGCACGGGGACGTGAGGCCGGGGCCAGTGCTGGCCTCTGCCGCCTCAGGAGCCGCCCAGGCTGAAGCCGGGCTGCAGAGAGCCACAGGGCGGCACCTGAGCGGCACCTGCGCCGGGCCCCAGCCGGGACCCACGCCGGGGATGTCTGCCTTGGGGATGCGCCCCGGCGGTCCTGGCCTGCGCGGAAGCCGAGGGTGACAGAGCAGGGCGACCTGGCCACCCCGAGACCCGCCGGCCAGCCCCGGGCTCCGGGGACTCACAGGCGAAGTACTGCCAGGGCTGGTAGGAGAGGCCGAAGTCGGTGGAGCGCTCCAGCACCCAGAGGTCGGGCCGCGGGGCGTTGGCGAACTTGATGAGCACGTAGGCGACGTGGAAGACCTGTGGCGGGGGGGGGGGGCGGTGAGGCCTGGAGGGGTGCCCCGCCCCACAGTGCGGGCCGCCTGGTCCCACAGCTGTGGGCTCTCCTCTGGGTCCAGGGGCACCCCGGGGAGAGGGCTAACCTGCTCAGGGAGCTGCCCCCGGGCCGGGGGGCTGGGCAAGCAGGACTCAGGAGCTCACCCCCTGCGGGTCACGCGGCCAGGCACGGCCCCTCGCTCCCAACAAGCCTGGCCTCCTTGCCCGCCTGGCAGGGGACGCCCCCTCCTGGGAGGGGGCCCCTGTTCCAGTCTCACCTGGTCACCCCCCATTGTCCTCGGAGCCACCTCCGAACCTGCCTGCCCATTCTCCGACCCGCCCTCGCCAGGAGGCCCCAGGTGCCAGGGGCCTGGGCCGATGCCGCCCCGACAGAGGAGACAGGCTGGAAAGTGGGGTGCCTTGTAAACGCCCCAGGGACGAGGCACGAGGCGGGGTCCCCACGTCGGGGTCTGGAACGCCTGACCCGGATGGCCACAGCCCCCAGAAAGGGGCGCTGGGGCCCAGGGACAGCGTGGGCTCAGACGCTCCCGCTCAGCCCGAGGCCGCGAGGTGGCAGCTGGGCCGCCCGGACCCCCGAGAGGGCGGGCGTGTGGGCGGGCCCCACCCTTGAACCCAGCGTGCAGGCCTCCTGTCCGCCCCTGAGCCCCCCGGGAGTGCCCACCCCGGGCTGGGCCTCCCGCAGGGAAGGATGTGAAGATGTGCTGGCAGCCCCGCCCACGGGCAAGTAAGCCCCGCCCCCTCGCTTCCAAAGCCAAGAGCTGCTGTCCGGGCTGGTCCGGGCTGGGCTCTGTGCGAGGGATTCGGGCTCCAAGGAGACGGGGCAGGGCATCGGGGACACGGCCACCCCAGCTTGCACTCCGGGGTGGGAGGCCCAGACACACTGGAGAACATGTCACGTGTGGGGGGCGCCCCCCTTACCCCCCCAGCCAGGGCCTGCTCGTGGGGACGGCCCCGCGGGCTCTGTACTGTCCACAGACCTCCAGGGTGATGTCATGCTCTCGGCCACTGCACGCACCCTCAGCGGGGCCCTGGCCGGCCAGGGGAGCAGGCCCCCCACCCTTGGGCGTCCACCGGTGTGGACTTCTGCTTCGGACCAGCTGAGGCAGAGAAGGGCTCCCCTCCAGGGCCGCCCGGGGCCCACAGTCACCCCCCAGCCCTCGTCGGCCTGAGGCTGACGTGGTGACCCTGTGGAGGGGCGGCGACCCCTCGAGGCCCAGCCTTCAGGAGGCTCGGAGTGCCGGGGAGGTGGGCAGCGTCCCCGGCCCCAGAGACAGGCCCGCCCTGCATCCACGCCCTTCCCGAAGGTCCGCATGAAGCTGGGTGGCTTCTCCCCGAGGTGGGGGTGGGGGGGTGGCCTATTCACCCACGTCCAGGCTCTGAGGTCATCTTCCGGGGCTTCGGTTCGGGGAGGGACGCGGCCCCTGGGGGAGGGACCCTGCACCCAGCCGGCACCTTGGCCAACCCTGAGGCCTTCCAGGGAGTCCTGGGGGGCCGCGGGGGGCCTGGATCACAAACACGGGCTGCTCTGGGGGCGGGCGCAGCTGCACCCCCCCCCCACGCCGAAGGCCCCCCCCCCGCAGGAGACTCAAGGTTCCCGCCGAGCCCCCGGGACCCGCCCCCGCCTTTCCCTGAGCGAGGCCACCGGGCTGCCCCTCTGTGTCGGCGGCCCACCGCGTTTCCCCGGCTGCGGGCACCGGCACGAATACTGATTCAGGGGCACCGGTCAGGCAGGACAAGGGCGTCCTGGGAACTTCCCGCACACGCCCACCCACTGCACTCAGTGGCCGTGCTTCAAGAAAGGCCCCGCCCCCGCCCCCGCCACTTGGCCATCGGTCTGTCACTGGGGGCCCGGACATCTGTCCCCGAGGCTGCTGCACACGGGGAGGGGAGTCTGCAGGGAGGGGGCGACAGCGGCCCAGGGCTCCCGTCCCTCCCAACCTGGTGCTGCTCCCGGGGCCGCCGTCTCGACCCCGGAGAGGTGTGGGCCCCGGCCTCCGCCCTCCGCCCTGCCCCCACCCCGCCGCCCGCCAGGCTCCGCTGCCAGCGGGGGCTGACCTTTCCCGCTGCCGCGGCCTTTTCTGCCGAAGGAAAGAGCGTCTTTTAGAGCAAAAGCCAAACAAAGGCCTCCCGAGTTATTTTTAACAATCTGGCTATTTTGGGGCGGGCAAGTCTCCAGGACAGCAGCCCAATGGTCTCCCGGCCACCGCGCCCCCAGCCCCCACGCCTGGCCTGGCGGCAGGGGGCCAGGGCCCCCCAGGAGGGCGTCTGCGCCCCGACCCGGAGACCGAGGTCCGACGGGGGCCAGGGCCAGCGCAGGAGGCCCCGTGTGGGTTCCAGGCACCAGAGGCCGTGGGCCCTGGGCAGCCGCGTCCCCACCCGGGCTCAGGGGCAGCGGAAAGACAAACACAGAGGAGGGGCGAGGGCCAGGGGTCAGGGGTCAGGGGTCAGGGCGCTGGCAGCACAGCGAGGTGGATCCCTCGCTCAGGAAGATGCCACCGTCTCTGGGTGGCCGAGCCGACACCCGAGCCCCCTGTTGGGGTGCTGCAGAGGGCCCCCCCATGCCACACCGCCCTCCGGCCGCAGAGGCTGAGGCGGGGGAGGGGCAGGCGCAGGGTCGGGGCTGGGATCTGGGCGTCACGGTCCCTGAAAGCCTGGCGGGGCGCAGAGGGTGACAGCTGGCCCACAGCCTGCCGGGCCAGGCCCCCGCCTCACCGAGGGCAGGAACCCCCGGGTACAAGGGGGCCCGGCCAGCGCACCCCACGCCTGCCTGGCCCATCTCGGGGCAGGGAGACCCAGGTCTGTTCCGGGGGAGGAGGGAGCCCGGCCCCCACCCGCCAGCGCCCGGGCGCTGCTGGAGTCAGTCGCTGGGCAGCCGGTGACTCAGCCCCGGCCCTGCCGGAAGCAGGGCCCAGGGCTGACTCCTGGGGCCAGCCAGGGTCCCAGGCTGTGGCCGGGCGGAGGCAGGAAACCCCTCCTAGACCCGGCGTCCGGGTCAGCTCCCCGGCCATCGCCCTCGGAGCGAACAGTGGGTACCCAGGCCTCCTGCATCCCCCACCCAGACCGCTGGGCCGGCCTTCTGGAGCCCCACCCCCCGTGCTGACCACTCCTGGCCAACCCCCCCCCCGTGGGCTCTGTCCCCTGCGTGTGTGTGGCCCTCTTAGCAGATACCCCTCTGGGAACCTTGGTGGAGATAAAGGCCACCGCAGGGGCTGGGGCTGGGGTGCAGGGCAGGGCGGGCAGGCCCCCTCCTGGGTAAATAACCAAGGCCCGCCGGCTGTCCCCACACGGGCAGGGAGGCCCCGGCTCCAGGGGAGACCGGGCGTGGAAAAGCAAAACAGAAACTCGGAGAACACAGCAGCGGCCCCGGGGGCCTGACGCTGCTGGGTGGGCACCGAACGAACCAGCGTCCGGAGCAGGGGTGGGGGGCTTTCAGGGAATGGGTGGGGGTGGAGGAACCCGACGGGTGGGCAGGAGCTCAGGGGCTAGAGCGGAGGGCCATGCCCCGGGTGACCCAGCGCCTCAGCAAAGCTGGCTGGGGGAGGGGATTCAGAGACAACCCCCCCACCTCCAGGGGCTGCCCGGGGCCCGGCCTCGGCCCAGAGCTCCCCGCCACCCCCCGCCCCCCGCCCCAGGTCAGGCCAGATGGCCAGCCCCAGGCCGCAGGAAGCGGAGTTTACCTCTCGAGGACCCCAAACCCAAACAGTTTAGTCTCTGGTGAGCGGGACGCGGTGGGGGTTGTTTAAAAGCGGATGGAAAACAGGAGCCTCTGGGGGCGGCGGGGCCTGGGGGGGTCCAGCGTGAGGTGGCGGGGGCATCTGTGAGCCCCCAGAGTGAGCGGAGGTGGGGGGCCCCGCTGGCGTGTGTGTTGGGGTGGGCGGCGCACGGGCCAGGACCGGGAGCCCCTCCGTCCTGGGAGCAGGGGCCCAGGGAGGCTTCGCCCATGCTCACGCGGAGAGTCTGGCCGTGCCGGACCACGAGGTGCCCCCGCTGGCCACCCAGGACCCCCCCTGCCTGCCCCCGCCCTCCCCAGGGAGCCCGGCTCAAGGGCCCGTGTCCGGTCCGGCCCCCACACCTGTCCTGGCTGCTGGGCTCCGTAACCAGAGCCTGGCTGGCCTCGGGCGAACTTCCTGCCGCTGCCCTGGAGCCACCCGCTGGCCCTGCGGGGGGACCAGACACATGGCCGAGCGCCCAGCCGGGGCCAGGAGCCCTGCCCGGGGAGCCCCGAGCCAGCCAGCCGCAGAGCGCGTGCCGCCTGGCCCCGGGGGTCCCGCCAAAGCAGCTGTGGGGGGCCTTGCTGAGGAGCCAAGCCCCTCGAGCAGGTGCCCGGGTGCTCAGGTGCCCTCGGCCCCCTGTGCAGACGAGGAGGCTGAGGCGCAGAGGCCAGGTGGCCAGCGGGGACAAGCCCGAGTCTCTCCAGAGACCCGGGCGAGCTCTCGGCCCCTCCCCACAGGTGCTCTGTGTCCCCAGGAGTCCAGGGACACCCTCACCAGAGCTCTGTTCCTCGGCACCCCTCCTGGTGTCCTGGCCCCCAGGGAGGGCACAGGCCCCTCGCCCGGCACTTCCAGCCCCCGACCCACACTTCTGGCCGCAGCAGCACCCACCCCAGCCCACCCCCGAGGCTGGCCCGGCCCCCTCTGCACCTTCCCCTGCTGGGCCCCTCCACCTGGCCCCACCCGGGGCAGAACTCGCGCCGGGGCTGGCCACTAGCAAGGGTCCGACCAACGAGGGCTCTCAGGCCGGAAGGCTCCCGGCCCAGGTCCGCACCTCCGACAGGGCAGGTGCCGTGGCCCTGGCCGCTTCCGGCCCCCCAGCCAGGACGTGGCTCCTGGACCCTCAGTTTCTCCAGCTGCGACCTGAGAAGGGGGAGGGCCCAACACCCACCCCCACGGGAACAACAGAACAGGATTCGGCGTGGCCGTGGGAAGGGGGACCGGCTCACCCGCCCGGCCCACCCACCAGGTGTGAGATGCGGCTGGGACCAGGCCCGCGGTGCCTTTCTCGGGCCTCCCAGGGGCAGGAAGGCCTCCCGGTGCCCGGCGCTGGCTGCCCCCACCCCCTCCGAGGCATCCGCTCCAGAGCCCAGAACAAAGGCGGCTGGCAGCCCGCCCCAGGGAGTGCCCAAGCCCGCCGCCCGCTCAGCCCCACTTCCTGGCGGGAGCCCCGGCCCCACCCCGACCCTCGTCAGCAACGACAATGACGACGGCCCAGTGATGACGACGGCGGGGAGAACCCCAGTCGGGGTCGGGACCCCTGGGCCGGGCGGGCGCAGCCAGGCCCCTCCCGCCGGGCCCCAGCTCTCACGCCCAGCAGGGAGTGTGCTCGGAGGGTCCTGCCCTGGGGACCGGCCCCGTCTGACCGCAGGCGCCCGCCGCTCCCGTCACCGGCCCAGGGCAGGCTCGCCGGTGCAGACCCCAGGGCCGCCACCGCAGGGGCCCAGGCGGATGTGTCCCAGGCCGGCCCCTCCAAGTGCCTCCCCGGGGGCTCCGGCCCCCAGGGCCCTCCCTCCCTGCCCTCGTGGGCTCCTCTGCCCCAGACCGGGTGCTGCAGGCGGGACCCGGTCCCCATCCCCAACCTCTTCCCCCTTCGGACCATTTCACGGTTGGGGAAACTGAGGCTTGGAGAGGCAGGGCGCACAGGTGGTGAGCCCCCTCTCTGGCCCAGGACCGGTCGGCACAGCCGGGCTGGCAGGTGAGGAAGCAGCGGCTCGGGGGTCTCGGAGCCCAGAGGGCCGGGGCCCCACCACAGCACCGGGCCGGGCACCGTGCCCACCTGCTCTGAGGCCACTCTGGGGTTGCCGTGGAGACTGGGCCACTGAGCCCCCAGCCGGGGCCCGGGCCCCTCCCCCAGCCCGGCCGGGCCTGTCCCACAGGGAGGGGAGGAGCAGCCGCTCGAGAACCCACCAGCTCAGCACGAGTTCCTCCGACTGACCCTGGGTGGGGGCAGCTGCATTTCCCCGCCGGCAGTGCCAGAGGGGGGACCCCGGGTCACACGGGGCTTCGAGGCTCCCTCCCGGCTCTCAGGGACAGGCGAGCAGGCCGAGCCCAGCCAGACCTGGGCCCTGCAGGCCAGGGGCCACTTCACCCCCTTCCTCTCGGGCTGCTTCTCCTGCAGACCGACAGCCAAGCCCCGGCCCCCGAGACTCCAGGCCGCTTGTCAGGACCTGGACCCACTCCCCTCACTGCCCACCTGGCCACGGGGCCAGGCCTGCAGGCCGGGGCAGGCGGTGCCCGACAGTGCCCCCCAAACCCACCCTCCGGGCCTGCCCTGCCGGCCAGCCGGCTTACGGACACACTTCACCGCCTCTCCCCTGATGCACCGGGCCCTGGTGGGGGGGGCTCAGGAGGGGGCAGGCAGCGCCCCAGGTCACAAGACTGGGCAGTGGCCGGCTGGCCTGGACTCTAGCCCCTGGACCTGACTCCTCCCTCCCCCAACGGGGTGGGGTCTGGCGGGATCCACCTTGTAGCCCCCACTCCAGGCAGGGCCGGCTCCATCCCCCCAGCCCCACACCCCAGGGGCAGCGGGACCTCCAGCCCACGTCACAGGCCGGGCACTCGGCAGAGTCACACGGAGGGCAGGACACACCCCGGGCCCGCGTCTGACCCGGCAGGTCCGCCAGTGGCGGGGCTCTTCCGTCCCTTGGAAACTCCCTGCCACGCCCTCCCGCCTGCAGGGCCCGGAGCAGGAGCACCTGACCCCGAGGTGGCCTTCCGGCACAGGTATCCCAGGAATGTCCACTTCCCCTGGCCTCCTCCGCATTCCTGGGGCCCGCCCACCGCAGCAAGCCGGAGCCCAGCTCCCTGCGCAGGACCGCTTCCCAGCAAACGCCAGCACTGCAGCCCAGCGTGGGGCGACCTCCGAGCCAGGCCGCAGCCCCCCGCCCGCTCTCCCTGGCCCCGCAGGCAGCACCTGCTCCTCCCGTGCGCTGCAGGGAGGCAGGAAGAGCACACCTGAGGCACCCACGGCCTCGCCTTTGTCTGACTGGGCCTGCCGCCCGCAGACAGTCCGGGCCTAGTCCGGGCGCACTGGGTGGGGACCTCCCCGTCCAGCCTGTGCCCGGAGGGGAGCCCCGGCGCCAGGGACGTGGGGGCGGGGCTGCGGCAGGCACCAAGGGGACTCTACCTGGCCCAGGTCCAGGGTGACGTTGACCTCGTTGTACTCCAGGCCGCGGGACAGCGGCGGGCTCTGCCACCAGCGCTCCGTGCCGTCGACGGCGTTGCTCGCGGGGTGCGCCTTGTTGCTGTTGGCGGCCGTGCAGATGTCACAGTACTGGCCCTGCGGGGGCACGGGGACGGGTCAGATGGCCTGGACTGGCGGGGACCTCTCGCCGCCTCCGGTCGCCCTCCCCGCGTCGCCCGGCCCACCCATGCACTCCTCGCCGACTCCGGGCCCACCCATTACGGAGGAACGGAGAGAGTGGAGAGGCAGACGGCACCCGCTCTGGGTGTGCGGGAGGAATCAAGGTGGCCCTCTCTGAGGAGGTGGCTCCAGGCAGAGGGACCGTCTGTGCAAAGGCCCTGAGTCAGGAACAGCTCGGAGTGGAGAGAAGGCCAATGGAGCTGGAGCTGGGGGCGGGGAAAGGGGCCAGGCCCACTGCCCACCTCCAGCGGCCTGTCTCCCGCCGCCCCGCCAGGCTCTCTCCCAGAGCCATCTGGGTTCGGGTCTCCAAAGGGCCGGAACTAAGCCGTTCTGGTGGCTTGCCAGAATCGGCCCTGGAGTGAGGGCATGTGGGCAGCCAGAGGGCGGGACCTGGACCTCCTGGGCCTGTGGCTTCCCAGCCCTGGGGCCCGGCCAGGTCGCGGCAGCTGCCAAACCTCAGTGTCCCCGTCCAAAGAGTGGGAGTAAGGTTGGCACCTGCCTTGGCCATCCGAGGATTAACCACCCCACCCCAGGCCTGGCAGCTGCTTCTGTCACGGTCCAGACACCTGCCAGGGGCCGGTCCTCGGAGAACACAGCTCCCAGCGGCATCCTGGCCTGCTGTCCCCGTCCGGGAGGGGCAGGTGCTGGGAGCCCTGGGTGGGGTGGGGGCAGGGCTGGGCCCTGGCCGCTGGCCCGGCGCGGCCCAACCCCCACCCCGGAGGAAAGCAGACCTGCCATCCCTGTGCACACAAAGGCGGCCTTCCCGGACTTGGCACAGGCTGAAACCCGAGAGGCCGCTGCTGGGAAAGGCGGCCACCGCACCGCCCGGCCTCCCAGGGGGCCGGACCCCGTCCTAGGAGCTGGGGTGGGAGTGTGGGGCGCTCCACCCTCTCTCCCAGGCTTCCGCCGTGCATCTGGGTGGGCGAGACCCACAGGCAGCAGAGCAGGCTCCGGGACCCTGGTGCTGGGTGCTTTGGGTGCCCCGCTGCGGGCCTTGCTCCCTCCTGGGGCCTTCGGACCCCGATCTCCCGCCCCCTGTCTCAGTGCAGACATCACCTCCTCCGCAGCACCCCCACCCGGCTCTAGGCCACCCAGCACGCTGGCCTGACGCCCCCGGGCACCCCACGCTTTATTTGTTCTACCTCCAGACCTGGAACTGTCTGGCTGGCAGTGACTCTGCATTCACGGCCTCCCCAGGCGTGCAGAGCTTGGGGTTGAGGGGCGACACGCCTGCCTTGTCCCTCACCGTGGTCCTGAGCCCTCCACCCCGAGCTGCCACACCTGGGGGGCAGGGCCACAGGGATGGGGCAGCTGCCGAGGGTCCTGCCGGGCAGCAAGGAAACGGGGACCAGCAATAACAGCTTCCCCTCCCAGTGAGTCACCGCTCCGGCAGCCTAGCCCCCGGCTTCCCCTGCGGCCCCAGGGCCGGCCCTGAATTCCTCCCATACCCACCTTCGGCCCTCTGAGCCACCCGCACGGCCCCTCCCCCCCCGGGCTCACCCAGGCCCCCACGGGGACCCCTGCCCCAGTTTCTGTCCCCGCTCCTCCAGGCGGTCCCCCGGGAGCTGGGAGCCTGCAGCCGCGGGCCCCTGTCCTCTGTGGCCCAGCCCCCGTGCCGGCACACGCCTGGGCTCTGCGGGTGGACGGCAGCGGGGCCTCAGCTCCCTGGCACCTCCTGTGCCCAGCCACCGGCTTCCAGCTGGGGTTGGCGGGAAAGGCCCTACCACCAGCCTCACCGGGGGCCGGGGTGCTGGGCAGAGCCCCTGCTCCTAGGGGAGGGGGCGGAAGCGCTGGCCGGCCCAGGGACTCATCCAAGGGCACATGGTGTCCACACGGTGGCCGGTCTTTCCGCCATGCCTCACCCGGCGGCCTCAGAGCTGGGGCGCCCTTCGCTGGGGGCTGCTGGCTTTCAGGGACGGCTTTGGCCTCTGTTGCCCGACCGTGGGCTGGGTGAGCAGGCTGACCCTGGTCATTCAGGTCCAGCTCCCTGGCACCTGGCACCAAGGCTGCCACCGACCAGCTCCAAACGCATGTGAGGCGGGCCCTCGCACTGCGCCCATTTCACAGACACGGAGACTGAGGTTGTGGGAGGAAACCACACAGCTAAGGAGAGGCAGCCCCGGCCTGGCTCCCCAGCTGCTCCTTTAGGCGCTAGGAGGGAGCACGCAGGGCCCTCCCAGCAGGGACCCAGCTGCTGGCCCTTCTCAAGGGCCTGTCCCCTGGGGCCAGGCAGCGTGGGCGGGCTGAGAGGACTGGTCTGGGGCTCAGAGATGGCCTGGAGCTTCCGCTGCCTGCATAGAGGGGCAGCGGGGCTCTGCCAGGCCCTCCGGGGGGGCTTTGGACACCCCCACATGAGCTCCTTCTCTGACCTCAACCGGACAGACCAAGGGCCTGGGTCTCCGCCGCTCCCCCAGCCAGGTCAGGGTCCAGCTGCGAGGCTTCCGCAGGTGTCTGCACCTGTCTAGGCCTCAGTTTCCCCATCTGGAATCTCAGCTGTGCGGGGTGTGGGGGGCAGGGCAGAGGGGAGTGTGCAGGTGGGTCGGGGGCCTGCAGGAAGTAGTGCTGTGTCCCTGGAAGGGGGCGCCACGCCGGCCCCCTCAGGTCCTCCGCTGCAGGGCCAAGGGCGGGAGCAAGGGGCCCCGGCTCCTCCCTCTCCCCCTGTGACTAATCCGCAGTCCGACGCCCTTCCCGCCCCCGCCGCCCGCCGTGCCTCCCTCACCAGGAAGGTAGCAGCCTGGGGCCCCTGCCCCGGCAGAGCGGGCTGTAGCCCCGGGGGCCCCAGACTCTCCCGAGGGGCCAGCAGCAGGGGAGGAAAGATGGGCCCAGAACAGGGTGTCAGGGAGTCCCTAGAGCAGACCCCGCCCCCCCAAGCAGGCCAAGGAGCCGCCTCACAGGACCCCGCTCCCACCCCGTCCTCGGGGGTCTGTCCCACAGCCCTGCCTCCCTGGGAGTGTGCATGTGTGGGGCCACCCAACTGTTCCCCGCCTGCAGGCTCAGGACTTGCGGGGGTGCGCCCCCAAGGGTCCCCAGGGAGACCTCACACCTGTGTGTGGGGCAGAGACTCGGCCCCCGGCTGCAGCCCCGTGTTCCCAACCCCAGGGCCCTCCCCGCGGGCACTTCAGGGCCCCACCGAGCCCCTGCTCCCCCAGCGGGGAGGGCTTCGCGCTGTGCAGCGAGCCGGGAGAGCCTGCGCGGTCTGGCCCCTCCCGCCGGCTCCCAGTCCCATCCGGGCGCCGGCAGCAGGTTCCAGCTCGTCCCGCGGGAAGGCGGAGCGGCCCGCCCCCTCCCCGCAGGCAGCGGGCGCCGCCGCCAAGTCCCGCCTCGCCCGCATCCCGGGACTCTGCGCCGCCTGGAACCGGGCACGAGCCCCCTGGGCCCCGCGGCCCGCAGTCCGCGCGGGGGAGGCTGCGTCGGGCCCTCCCGGGGGTGCGGTGGCGTGGGGACGCGCAGGTCTCTGGCAGAGCCCGAAGGGCCGAGTTGGGGTCCGCTCAGTCCTCCGCAACGTGAACCCCGCGAGTCGGCGCGGGACACGGGGACTTCGGTGGGCACCTGGCCTCTCCCGGGCCCCGGGCGCGCCCGGCCAAGTCAGGCCGGAGTCGCGGAGTCCGAGCGCGGCCGGCCCGGAGCCCGGCCCGTCCAGCACCGGGTCCTCAGGACCGCGTCCCCCCCTGCCCCCCCCGCCCCGCCGCCTAGCCCCGGCCACCGGCCCGCGCTCACCTGGATGGTCTGGATGGGGTCCCCGCCGGCCGCGGGGCCCCCCACTAGCTTGCAGTAGAGGTCCTCCGTGGGGCGCGGGGCGCCGCGCGCCGGGGCCTCCTCGCCGCAGGTGGCCGAGGCGGCGATGCGGGCTCCCTCCGCCAGGTTGAAGTAGGGCGGGTGCAGGCTGAGGTCGCGGGGCGCCGCCGCCTCCAGCGCCGCGCCCAGGAGCGCCAGCCCGGCCAGCAGCCGCAGCGGCCACGCGGGGCGAGACCTTCCCATCCCGCAGGTCCGGCCGCGCTCCTCGCACTCTGGGACTGCGCGCCGCGGGCGCCCTGTGGGGTGTGAGCGCGGGGCCAGCCGGCTGGCTCCGCCCGCGGACGTCAGGCCCCGCCCCAGCCCGCCCCGGCGACCGAGCCCCGCGCCCCGGGGCCGCGGAGGGGGCGGGGCCGCCGGCAGCCTTAACCCTTCGGAACCCGAGCGGCCGGCCGGCCTCCGGAAGGGGCACCTGCTGGCCTCAGGCCGGGCCGTGGGAACGCGGAGCCCCCCAGGCCCCCAAGGGCGTGGCCCGAGTCCTGGGCCGCACCCCCGCGCCCCACAGCGCCCCAGCTCCCCGGCGCACCCGCCCGGCTGGTCCGAGCCTAGAGGCTCCGCTCTTTGTTTTCCTAACTTCGGGCACCTCTCGGCGGCCGAGCGCCCCCGGCGGTCCGGGCGCAGGCAAGGCGGCCGGGAGTCGGGCACACTCGCACCGCGGCGGAGGGGACATCTGTCCGTCAACGGCTCCGCGCGTCCCCACCGGTGCCCCCCAAACTGCAGAACGTTCAGAGCAGCAAGGGATCCTAGACGTCTGGCTATCCCCACCCCCACCCCCACCCCCGGGTCCGGGTGCCCCCGGGAGACCCTCGCCCCACTCCCCAGGCGGGCTTCCGGCTGCAGTCCCTCACACGGCTTCTCTGCCCCATCTTGCCAGCGGCGGGAAGGGGCCCTCTGCACCACGTGAGTGGCTGCGCGTGGGGGCCGTGAGGGCACCGGTCCGTGGAGGGACGAGGACGTCCGCAGTGGGGACCCCCTGCCTCCAGGTCAGGTTCACCCGTGCCCCTGCGACCCGCTGGGGTTAGAAACACCTGAAAGCAGGACGTGGGGCAGGAGGGCCGGACGGCTGCCCACCTGCGCAGCCAGGGAGGGGCGTCTGTGGCCCGGTGGGCACTAGGAAGACCGACCGTGGAGGACAGTTTTCCAGCACCTGCTGGGGGCGGGGGGCAGTGAACCTACCCTTGGGCCAGGCAGTGCCTGTGCGGGGGGCCATGTGGACCCCAAGTTTGTGGGCCAGGCCGAGCCCTCCCGCTGGGCACCGGTCCCCGCCAGGGCGCTGGAGGACGCCCGGGAACTGGGAGGACCCCGGGAGGCAGGCCCCCGCTTTGTCCCAGCTGTCTGTGCGCTCCTCGGGCGGCTCCGGGCCGGGTCGGTCTCCAGGGAAGCCCGCGGGGGTGGGACGGGGTCGCAGCTGCCGGGCTGGCAGCTTCCCCCGCTCTCCGAGCCAGGCCAGCCGGGCGTCCGTCCCCGTCCCACGTGGGGGCCCCTGGACGGTCCCTGGGGCCGGGGAGTTCGAGGGGCCGCATCCAGCTGGCCCTGGCCGGGGTCCTGCCCGGCAGCTGCTCCCAGGGACTTGCGCCACGGCCCACATGTCCTGGCCACCCCGCCTCCCCCAGTTCCTGAAACTCCAGGGGCTGGGCGGGCCCCGCTCCCTCTGGAGCGGGGACACGGGCGGTGGGAACAGCCCTCCCTCCCCTTGCCCTCCCCAGCTCCGTGACTGAGACTTCACTTTTAGTTCCCTCTGCCGAGAAGCTCTGAGTGGGGGAGGGCCATCTCAGAGGGTGGGCAGGAGAGGAGGAATCGGAGTCCCCAGATGGGCAGGCTCGGGAGCTAATTTACGATCTCCTGCAAAGGGCGGCCGCCCCGGGCAGCAGCAGACCTGTCCCAGACGGGGAGTTCATTCGACCTGCCCAGCCTTCCCTGGCCCCGAACTGACCCGCCCCACCCCCGCCCCGCATCTGGCACACCGTAGCCGCATACTGCTGCCCCGGCATCCCCTGGACATCTGGGCGCCACCCCGGCAGTTGCGGTTGGAGACGGGGAGCCCTCTCTCCCCCTGATCTGGGCAGGCTTCCCCACATCCCCTGCAGGGGCCAGTGGGCAGAGGTGGCGTGTGGGCGCCCTCTGAGCCCTGTAGCACCCAGGCCTCCGCTGGCTGCCGGGCGGGCAGGCAGGAGGGGCAGCTGCCCAAGAATGCGCTGAGTCAGCCACGGTGCCCAGCTGGAGGACCGCAGGACAGCTGCCCCTGGAGTGGAGCAACGGATGGCCGCCAGGCTGGGGAGTGGGGACAGAGGAGATTGTGGTGCCCACCGTCTGCCCCCCCCCCCCGTGTGCCTTTGCACCTGGTAGGGAGGGGACGGCATGGGGAATGAAGGGGGAGCTGGTGGGAGATGCGCTGGGCAAGGGGGGCTGTCCCGTCCCATCCCCAAGTGGCCCATCAAATGTGTCTCCTGCCTTCCTCAGACTTCGGGGCCACCCAGCTGCCTTTCCTACTTAAAAACGGAAAGACTGAGGCCGAGAGGCCCTGAGGTGACTCCAGAGCACCACGTGAGCGAGGGGGAGGGACTCGGTCAGCCATTCGCTGCCCCCCCCCCCCCCGCATCAGGTAGCCCAGTTCTGTCCTGAGTCCCCAGGAGAGGCCCACCCAGTCCTGGAGGGTGGGTGCCCCAAGAAGGCCTGCCTTCCTGCGCCCGCCCCACAGCAGTGGCCTCCCAGGAGCCCCTGCTACCCCTCTGGGGGGCGGGTGTGGGGGCCCGCAGGCGTACTGGGCTCAGCCAGGGGCGGCTGCTCAGGCGTCCAGGTGCTCACAGTGGGCACCAGGCGGCCGTGCCAGCGGGGCCTCCGCTCCCCGGGCCCCAGCTCTGCCCCCGGGCCCTGTCCCCCTGGGGGAGGCCACAGGGGCCGGTGCTTCCTGGTCCATGTTTGTTTCAGCAGGAAGAGGGTCGGGGAGCTAGTGCTGTGGTTTGGGGGAGCGGGGTCGTCCCTTCCCGGTGCCCGTCCAGGGGGCCCAGCAGGTGGGCACGTCCACCCCGGTGGGTGCGGGGCAGAGAGGCCGGGCGCGGGGCGAGGCTGATTCCGGTGGCTGCTGCCGGCGGGGCCCAGTGTCCTGGAAGAAGCCTCCCCGGGGTCAGAACCCAGCAGCGAGGGAGAGCCCCGGCCTCTGCTCGGCCCGGACCGAGCCCCCCATGGCCCGTAGCTGCACACGGTCCAGTGAGGGAGCAGGCGCAGCACCTGGGAGCCCCAGAGCTGGGGCCGGTGGGCAGGGGACGGGCCTCCAAACCCGGGACCTGGATCCGAGGACCAGCAGCAGGCCCTGAACAGCGACTGGACCCCTCCCCGGGCCGGGAGCCCCCCACCACTTGTCTCCCTCCCTGAGGGCCACTGTCCTCAGATCCGTTTTTTAGCGTGAGGAGGGACCGGGGACAGGTCCCCTGTGGCCCTGGAAGGAGTGGTCCGTCCCCTCCCTGCTTCGGCCCCGACGGGCCACCGCTGGCCCACAGGGCACGTGGTCCTGGGGAACCTCAGAGACCGTGAGTCTCTGGGTTGACCCGGCAAGGAACTGACGTTTGTGACCCCCGAGCTGCTGGGCAGGGCCCCTCCGCTGGGAGCCTTCTGACCCTGTGTGCCCAGCTCTCAGGCCACGCCCCAGGGTGTCCACTGCAGGCCTGGCCCTCGGGCGGACGTCCTGATGTGGGGGAGGGGAGGGACGCAGACTTAGGTGTGCCGGGCGCCCGCGGGCCTGAGCTGGCCGGCGCTGCCGCTCCGCAGAGGCGCCCGGTTCGGCTGCCCTTCCCGGCAGGCACCGTGGGCTGGGAGGGCCAGGCCGGGAGAAGGGCACGCCTGTCCGGCGTGTTCAGAAGTAGGGGCTGTGGCACTCCGTGGCGCGAGCAGCGTGACCTCCGTCTGGACTCCAGAGGCGGGGGTCCAGCTTGGATGCTGCCCCCCGGCCTCCGAGTCACCGCCCCAGCCGACCCTGGGACCCTGGCTCTGCGAGGTGCCGGGGCCGTGAGCTGGAAGAAGTCAGGAGTCAGCACACTCAGAGTCTGTCCCTGTCCCGCAGGACGACCTGTGCCCCGGGGCTGAGGGCCTGCTGGGCCGGCCGCCGGCCTCCCCCAGGCGCATGGGCTCCTGTCTGCGCTCAGACGAAAGCCAGGCCCCACGAGGCCGCCCGGCGACGCCCCACCCCCCCTCGGTCCTCGCCCGCCCCCGCCAGGCTGGGCCTGGTCACCTGCACCCCGCACACAACACAGCCCCTGCCCGGTCCACTCGAGAACCTTCCGGACCCGCCGAGAACTCTTACGAGACTCACTCGGGCCAACCGGTGACATCGCCAGGGGCCGGGTCCCAGATGCTTCCCAGAAATGACACTTTTGCGGCTGCGTTTACGCGTCTGCGACGGAGGAGGGGATGCGAGGGACTGCATGTGCTGGTGGGAGAAAGCCCGGTGGGGGGGTGGGGGCGGGGACAGGGCAGCCGAGAGCTCACTCTGCCCTCTGGAGGGGCTGGGGCTCTGAAACCCCGGCTTCCTCGTTTTAGAGAGAGAGGGAGGGGGGCAGGGAAGCCTCGCTGGGCTGTCCCACGTGTACCCCAGTGGGGGGCGCACGGCGGCCCCAGCATGTGCCCCGACCGAGAAGGGAACCCCCAGCTTTCGAGTGCACCAGACGGACGGCGCTCCAGCCCACTGAGCCACCCTGCCTCCGCCCCCCCCCCCCCCGGGCCAGGGCCTCAGGGGGCGGTGGGGCTTCAGAAGAAGGGGTCAAAGGGGCATTTCCAAGGTGTGCTGGCCTGGTTGCCCGGAGACAAGGGGTGGGCCGGCTGAAGGCGGAGAGGACCCTTGCATGCCCAGGGCCGGACTGCCCCCCACGACTGACCGCTCGCCCGCTGAGGGACTCATGCCCGGGGGGCCCCATGGGGTGGCCCTCTACGGACCCCCGTTTCTGTCCACAGGACTTCGCCTGGTTCCCTCCCTGCCGGGTCCGGGCCCTCTGGGTGCCTCCCCAGAGAGCCTGCCCTTCCAGGCCCCCCCTGCAAGAGCAAAGGGGGGGCTGGTCCAGCCAGGCTGCTCTCAGAACCCGGCACCACGGGCCTCGCCGAGGGGAGCCCATCCGGGTGCCTCTCAGCACCTTGCCAGGGTGTGAAGTCGGGCGTCCAGGCCTCCTGATGCCAGATTTGTGGGGAGCGCTGGGGAGGACCCCCTACATGCTACTGTGTGCCAACACTGGTACCCCCCACCCC